TAGTAGGCGTTGAAGATAAAGCTAATCATTAGCACATGTGGGTTACTATAGTACTTATGGCTAATTATAGACTAATTAGGCTCAAAAGATTCGTCTCACGATTTTTTCCCTAACTGTGTAATTGGTTTTTCTTTTAATCTATATTAATGATACATGCATGCAGGTATCCAAAGATTCGATGTGATGTTTTTGAAAAAAAACTTTTAGGGAACTAAACGGGGCCAAAATGATGTGAAACAGAGATTAGCATGAGCCTATGAATGTGAGCGTGACTGGGCTCTATTTTCTTTGATTTGATCCCCTCTGTTGCCGGCTGGTGGAGGACGGAATAACAAAACATGGCATCTCCCCTCCAGCCGCTCGACCAACCCACTTGCAGAGTCGCGGCAAGAAATGGGGTGAGAGTGAAGTCGGCAAAGGGGAGAATTCGTTGGATCGGACCAAAAGCGGACCGAATTCCCGATCTAAACAGCGATATGAGCTTATCCCCTCCGATCCAACCTATCCGCCGCCCAACTTCGTCATGCGTCACGCGTCAAACCGTTCCTAACTTCCGCAAGCTACCGGCGAAAACGCCCACCTCACGTACATACCGTTCGCGCCGTTACGTACCGGAAGCTCGCGTTCGCGTCGCCTACCTGCCGTGCCGTCACATGCGTTTCCAGACCAAAAGCACGCATAGCCGCTTACCCTATATTATCCGGAATTCCGGACTCCGTCGCCGACGCAAGCGGGACAGCGGGTCGCTTCGCTCTCGGTCGCTAGCTCGTTGCCCGTCGAGTCGTCGACCACTTGCTGGTGGAAAGTGGAAACAACCACGGAATTAACTTCTGGTGCGGTTCAAGGCGTCCGTTCGTGCGTCGCTCCCGTCTCGTCCGTTTTTTGGTCGGCGTCCGTTCTGGGTTCTCGACCAATCCGACGACGCGCAGTTGTTGGACACGTAGGGCTTGGATGGTTTAATTACAGGTGACCTCGTGCTCGGTAGATAGAACAGCATGCAGATGCAGTGACTGAACATTGGATGATGTGCAAGCAGTGATTGACAGGTACACTAGCAACTGGGTGAGAGAGACTTGATGAGTACTATGCCGGTATGGAAGTTGGTGGTGAAATTTCATTTACGCACGCTTGCACTGCACAGTGCAGTGAGTGTGTGAGAGTGTGAGTGCTTTGTCGCTTTGAAAAGGGACACAGTGCAAGGCTAGCTGCAAGCAGGCTGAGGGGAGAGGGCTTTGTGGTTGCTGTTATTGTCACGCGTGCATGGATCCGCATTAGCGGCGCTCGACGCCTCCGCATTTAGCTATTCTAGCTACTTAACCCGTAGCTACTACTGCTTCGCTGGTGATTGTACCTAGCATTCGCTTCCAGCGAAGCATTGAGATGTCTACCTTTATGAGAAAACGGACAATATGACACTCTGTAAGATTGGTTTGGATAAAATGCCACTCAATATAATGCACCGGATAAAATGCCACTTAATACATTGCCTACAGGATGAAATGCCACTTTAGAGACTTTTGTGCCCAAAATGCCCTGGAGAGAGAGAGGGGGGAGGGGAGAGGGGAGGGCTGGCCGGCGGCGGAGGCGGCCGGCAGTGACAGCGGGGAGGGAAGGACGACGACGGGGGAGGAGGATAGGCCTCACCGAGCAGCGGCCGACGTGGACAACGGGGAGGGAGGAGGATGGCGCGGTGAGCAGCACCGACCGGCGACGGGGACGACGGTATGAGCTCCACTGCAGTCGCCTCTTCCGCCAGCCGCCGCCGCCGCCCCGTCCTCCCCGCCAGCCGCTGCCGCCGCCTCGTCCTCCCGGCGAGGCCTATCCTCCTCCCTCCGCGTCGCCTCCTCTGCTCGCCGCGCCATTCTCCTCCTCCCCCGCGCCGCCTCCTCCTCCCTCCCGGTGGCTGCCTCCGCCGCCGGCCAGCCGGCCCTCCCCTCTCTCTCTCTTTCTAAGGTATTTTAGGCACAAAAGTCTCTAAAGTGGCATTTCATCCGGTAGGCAATGTATTGAGTGGCATTTTATCCGATGCATTGTATTGAGTGACATTTTATCCGAACCAATCTTAGAGAGTGGCATATTTTCCGTTTTCTCCTACCTTTATGTATACCACGGGTATTGCCATGGACACCTCGTGTACCTAATAGAGGACATCAGCGTCCTTGGATGACTGGACAGAAAGCTCACGTTCACAAATCACAATAATTCTGTGTCCTTCAGTTGATCGCCTGATCGGTGATTCGGTGAAATCATCAAATGTATCATGTATGTAGTATACATCTAGGATCGTTAGTGACCACGTTGTGTGTGGCATGTCGTTGTCAATTTGCCCATATGCATGGTCCATCAAGAGGAAAAGATGATGAATAATGGCGGTCCAAACTCCAAAGGCGTGTGTGCGGTGGTGGATAGCTGCTCTGAGATTTGGGTCATGTTTTTTCTCCAACAAAAGTTGAATAAAGATTAAAATTTTCGTGGCACGCTTTTCAAACTGCTACACAGTGCGTTTCGTACGAAAACTTTCTATATGAAAGTTGTTCTAAAATATCATATTAATCTATTTTAAAGTTTATAATAATTTAAACCCAATCAATTATACGTTAATACCACCTTATTTTACGTAAAAAACTTAATCTTCATCTTTAGAAGAAAAAAACACCACCTTGATTGTAATCCGGTAGTGCATCGTGCTACTATTATCATACAGTTAATTCATCTAGAGAACTATTTTACTGTAATTAAATAATCAGTTGAATAAATATTATCATCAATTTTCAATACAGCAAGTTAATTGTATTGTATATTAAAAAAATAAATATGGCAATAACTAATGCTTATTGAAATACTTAGTATTATGCATCAGAGTGTGACTGTGAAGCCTATACAAATGACATGTTGGGCTAGTTGTTGTACAGTGCAGCTACTGTTCTAATTTGTTATAGCACAGCTATGGCGCAACTGATGTGCAATACTATTACTATTATATAACTCAACAAAGCACGCTAAACTTTATGTCGGTTGGTGCTGCGAAATTTCACATGTAGATATTGGCTTCCTATAGGTTTGCACTTATGGTTTGGACCAAATTTTCGGTATCACCAATTTATTGCGGTTTTTTTGGTATTTTTGGTACTCTTTTGCACACTTTTTTTTTTAAAAAATAATAAATATTGACTGAATTTGTTTTTTTTTTACCAAATTCCAAAAAGTTTGGAAAAATCTGAAATTTATGGGCACGATAGTTGCTTGCCGGGGTTTCAAAATTTCAAAAAATTTGAACCGAGATTTCAATCACTGAGTACTAATTGACCATGAACAATTCGGGACGATGGATAAACCAACATCAGCCAAAAAGAAGTCTGAAAAGCTTTACCATTGCTGGAAAATGGGCATCTTACTTTCACCGTACTGATTGCACGTCTAGCTTAAAGTTCCAAAGGGTCTAACGTGAGTGTGGCTTGTCCGGTTGCCATCAAAGACAATGCATCAGTGACACGCAAGGCACTTCCTCCCTGGTTCGCTTTCTCTGCTAGGTTGCCCTCCTGGAAAAGGAACGGAAAATATACAGGAATAGATAATCTTTGGTTTTGTGGGACTGCGTTACCACTGATCCGCTGTTGAGTCATTAATCCTGCTTTTCAAAATGCTCCACACATGGTACCGCAATATGTGTCCTTTTTTATCAATCTCCCGTTCTGTGTGGAGCATTACAGCAAAGGATGATCTCACACTGGACGTGGCGTGACATCAAACCGTGTCAGTTTTTTTTTAATTATTATTGTGGATTGCCAGCTCTGAGCGATCGAGTACGTATACTGGACCAGTCCAGATCATTGGCTGCCTTGTCGTTTTTAGCCGCCTAATAAGGTGCGTCTTAAAATGCACATTTTGTTTGGAAAAGAAATAAGTGTACAAAATAAGGTCTTTTAGTGGTCTCTAGCCGAGGAATCTTATTTGCGAAGCAATGGTCATATGCTAGCTATACAAACATAGAAAAGGATGAGCAATTCGTCCGTGCTTCAACACTTCCTCATATATTTAACCTTTTCTTATGATTCAAGGGTATCTTTATAATGCTCTATGCCAGTAATACTGTACTATCAAACGACAGTAGAAATGACCAGATTTATAAATTCTACTGCCAGTAAAAACATTCTACTACCATGATCCACAAACGAACCATACATTGAATCAACCAATCATTTTTTACAGTGGATCCCAGCAAAACAGTTCAGTGCAAATTATCCTTGGAGATGCCCACGTGATTTAAAACAGACAAATAAATCACATTATTGCTAGTATAAATACTTCAACCGATATTGCTAGCACATAAAAGTGCCATGCCACACTTGGAGAAAAGTACAGCTACGCATTACACTAGTTTAGGGAAAAGGGCTAGGCCACAATATGCACGAGGTGAAACAATACACTGTAGAGGGAAGTAGGCTACCTGGCCTTGCTTCGTGGAGACTCCATGGTCTTGACAAGTTCAAATGAAAATGTTAAATGATTAATCAACGTTAGCTCATTTTTGACGTGTGATGACATTTTCTAACATGGGATTTTCTAATGGTGATCCATTCTGCGAGACGTATGACTACTGACTATAATGACTACAAACAGTAAGCTAGAAGTTTTAGGGATGCCAAATCGTCCTGTCCAAACCATAAGCTAATATACTTTTTAAATTCATCAGGGTTTGTACACTGGTAAAACGTCGGTCAATTACAAGCGACCATTGTTTCTGCTGTTGCCACTCGCAAAGTCGCAAGCATGAGATGGCTGGAGGTAATCAAAGTATAGCCATAGCTAACTATAGCTCCGGGGGCCATAGTAATCTCACTGATTGCCGCTGTCCCCAAAAAAGGACAGGAAAAAAGCCCCCACGCGGCCACCACCACCAGCGGCCTGGCCTGCCTGGCTGGCCAGTCTCTCCCACCTAACTACAGTAGTATGGTCGCTGAGGTGAGACCCTACCGAACAACAACAAATTCAACAATTCTCACGCGCCGCTACTCCCCCGCACAACATCAACCAGAAACGTCTCCTCGTCACCACTCGCCACAAGTCCACCGCAGCACGGCGCCCTCTCCTCTCCTCTCCTCCGTCTCCCGCCTGCCGCGAAACCAAACCTCGAAAATAAAACCAACAGTTTCCCTCGCGGCCGCGCGCGGAGACGAGTAGACGACAGCGAATCGCTGCCGGTTTGGGGCGCGCGCGGATCGCGGCGGAGGGAGGCAAGCCTTTCGGTTTGGTCCGCCACCACCACCACGGCCACCGCGCCTCCGCCTCAGCGTCCGCGATTTTTTTTTTTATCTTTTGGTTTTGGATTTCCCCTTGTCAAAACTGGCAGGATTCTTCTGCCTGCCCGAGCCTGACTACTGTTGGGTTCGTGCTCGCTGCTCCCCCACGTTTTGTTTTACTAGTCGCCGCCGCACCGAATATTTTTCCCACCTCGCTCGCCACGCCGCCGACACCCGCCGTCCGCTTCCGCGGCTGCCCCGCGCGCCGGTGCTGTGTCGCCGGGCTGCGGCGGAGGAGTGCCGACCTTTTCCTCCGGGGTGAATGAGAGAGATGTGATCGTGGCGAATCCCGAGCTCTGCCGCTGGGCTGGGAGGCGGGGAAGGGAGGACAGGAGATGGGGCGGCGTGGAGGAGGAGGACGAGCGGGAGGCGCGTGGATTGGTGGCTGTGTACTTGCGCTCGCCGCCACCTTGGTCGTCTGCGTGCTCGTGATCCGTGGAGCTGGAGGTATGTGCAGTGGTGTGCTCTGTGCTGTGCTGGTCTGCTCTGTGGGAGTTTTGGGGGCCTCCTTGTTGGTCTAGTTTGGCCAGGATCATGCAGTTCCGATCCTGAATGCTAGAGTGGTTTGCTTGTTAGATTTTTGGGTTTTGAGCTGCCAGAACCCGAGCCTGCAGCGGAAGTTTCGTACTATTATTAAGTTTTTTCACTTGGGTCTCTGATTCTTCGAATTGGATGGGTGATTGATGTTGAGGTTGAGGACGTTGTTGTGATTTGATGGGTGCCCTGATTGTAACATCTGCTAGGATCACAGAATATTGCAGGGTCTGAAGAACATCGCCCTCTTAAGCATACGAGAAGGAATAAGATGGCACGTGTAAATTAGAAATACAGATGCCTCAATTCTATGCACCTAAAATTTGGGGGCAGGGGCGAGTGTTATGTCCATTTCGTTAGCTACCTTTTTTATTTCCTATGACAAATAGAGTGTTTAGCTGCAAAATAAACTACTGAAGCTTATTTTTCAGAAGGGGCATAAGACAGACAAATTCAAATGGACAAACTTTTAGAACATAAATCTCGGACAAATGCTGTAACTTTGCATGCACTATATATGTCAACTGATAATATTTTCAGTTTTAGTTGCCATCTTATTAGTTTTTAACCCAAAAATACAATGATCATGGACATCACTGATCATTTTTGACCAGTCGTATTTTTTGTTAGCAATTCATTGTTAAGTTATTGCCCTTGAACAAAGCTCTTGCCACTTTTATATTACATTTAAGCTCCAAAGACAACCCATTCGTTCTATTATATTTTGGTTTCTGGATTATGGCTTGCTATGCTGACAAATTGTTAGCTATTCTGTTCATGTTTTGTTTTCAAAGGTTTGAAGCAATATCATGCTCCTGCCTTCGCTCGAAAAATTCTTCTTTCCATAACAAGCGGACATCCACAAGATAACTTGAATATTGTACTTCATCCGTCACAGTTACAAACCCCAAGACTCCAAAGCTTAGGTCTGAAAGTTAATGGACCTATACCCTGAGATGCTTTCATTTTTGTTTATCATGTCATGTATTCTGAACTATATGCAACTTACCATATTTATTATTTTCTAGGACTAAATGTAAAACCACCTGCAGCAACTAGCAGACGTGTTAACGTACAGCAGGAACTATATGCACCAAGCCCAACGATCAGCCACAGAGGTACATTCAGAATTATGATTTGGTTTGTTATCCTATATATATCTATAAAGTTCATCGCCACTAAGTGTAGTCAATGCTATTTCTCTCCTCTCATTAAGTCACATCACCTCAATTATTTCTAGCCCTTGATGATTGATCTATGGTCCAAATTATCTTCCTCCTTTTCTTCTCTTATATAAAGTCATATCACCTTAGTTTTGCCTTTGGATGACTAATCTATATTACCTTCTTTCTTTTCCTTCTCTCATCGAGCCACATCACCTTAGTTTTGTTTTTGAATGATCAATCCATATATGATTAAAATTTTTATAAACCATATCATCTCAATTGTTTGTAGCTTTTTTATTAGTCGATCAAAGATGAAAATTATACAAAATGTAGCTATATTACATGTTATTTCTACTAATATCACACAAAACTCCCGCAGCAATGCATAGGGTTTCATCTAGTTTCTTGAAATTATGTTGAGAAAAATTGTTACGTTGGTTTTCCCTGAAAGTCGTGTATTCTACCCTAGTGGGTTGCTTTGCACAGATGGCTTATCTCACTGTCTAGTGTCTAAGCAAACTTTTTTTTTAAATAAAGGAAGCTTTATAGATCTCAAACAATTACATTGATACAATTAATCTAGGACCACTCCTGGCCTCTGTATAACTAATTAGGATGCGCACGACCTATAATTATTGCAAAAAAAAAAAGCTTCATTCACCACCATAGCAACACTTGGACCGTGAGAAAGGCCCTCCAAAAGCGATGCCTCCAAAAGGGAATGGCAAACTAAGCAAACTGTGCTGCCTACAATACAACCTAGTGCTCCCTGTCATTCTTATTAGTCTCCAATCAGAGAAATATCCCCATGTATCGAGAGTCCAGGCCAATTGTTGGTTAGCTTGATGTTGAATTCTATCTGCATCAATGTTACTGTCAAATCTAGGTTGAAAATGATGAAACCTTTTTGCTTATTCATAGGCCAATCTACCCTACCTTCACATATGATTTTTCCAAGTTACAGTCAAATCTAGGTTGAAATGTTTTATATCTCTATCCTCTCCGTAAGGCATGCAACCAATAAGTTTGTTGTAGAAATAATAATAAAAAAAGAGACATAAGGTGATGGGGGCAAACCAGCAAACCCCCAACTCCCTTTATTATTGACTAGCGTTAATAATAGAATCACATAGATTCTAGCCAATAATCCTAAGGTTACTATGCCACCCATAATGGAATGAAAGACCCTTGCCTACTGATTCCTGCTCCCCTGTGGTAGCCTCATAGACCAAAAGTAGAGCCAGTAGGAAGTCATCTGTTATGAATATAGCTTATATTGAATAATAGCCCTAAGGAGGCAATATATAGGAGTACAAGAGAGCGTATATAGAAACCTATATATGTACAAGACTATATTCCTTAACAACATGAACAAAACCTGTGTAGGATTAGACACTTTTTTGCTCTAGCTAATGAAATTTCATTGCAAGATTGTTATAAGCAAACAATCATATCTATTAATGCATTCCAAAAATAGTTCTTTTATGATCCACTGAAGGTACCTTCTAGTGTTAACTTTTGTACTTCTTGATACTCCCCAAGGACATAAAAAGAACTCTTACAGACACATGATGTACATTACCTGTTGCTTGTTCATCTACTTCTACAAACTTTTTTTATAGCGACACATCCTATTTATAACCGGCAGGCTCGTCTACTTAACTTTCATCGTGCCTTCGTCCACCAATACTCAAAGCATCTACCCCCATTAATTTATCCATATATGAGAAGTATATCCCACCCATTCAGAATTTTATGAAACATTACCTTAGTTCATGCTGAAATTAATTCCATCAATGTATGACGCAGGTCTTGCTATTCCTCCACTTCCAACAACTTCACCCCCAGTTTTCCCACCTCCCATCAGATCTTATCCTCCACTTCCTGCAAATAAGCCATACCCCAATAGTATGTCTCTGAAGCAATTTTTATACAAGAACTATATATTTTTTATCTGCTTACCATTTTCCTGTACTGAAATATGCAGGACCAGCAGTGTCTCCAGCATCAATAATCCATCCCACCAACCATGGGAAGGCCCATGGAGTTCCAATTGCAGCACATTCAAAAGAAAGGCATCATCATTCCATGCTTGTAAATAATACACATGGAAATACCCATGCAGGTCCAGTTGTGGCACCTCCAAAGGGAAGGCATCACCATTCTTTGCCTGTAAATAATACCCGTGTAAAAGGTATTCCACCGACTGCACAACTACCATAATGAACCTATTGCTGGTAATAAAATGATTCATGAAGTTGTATCGAGCAGGACCTGCCTATTCTCCTTCAAATTCTCCCAGTATCCATAGAAAACATGGCATTCCAGTTGCTGCACCTCCAAAGCAACATTCCAGCAATTTACCACCTTCACATCATAGGCCCCACAAAGGTATGCTGACAGTAAAAAAAAAAAAAGTACTCATCTCACTAAGGCAATGTTTGCTGCAGGATCCTTTCCTGTCATAAGCCCTACTCCACATAAAGCTGATAATGCTTCTGCGACGAAACATGGACGTTCTGGCTTACACCATAGTCCTGCACCTGCACCTGTAGGCTTGCCTCCATCTGAAGGAAATGCACGAGGAAATCCTGCGTATGCACCACGTCATCCCCATGAATATCACTCGCCTTCAAATTCTCCAGGTCAGTTAGACATTCTTGAAATTTCTCCTTTTCCTTTATGTTGTCTCATTTGTTCTAACCTCTGCAAATGCTCCAGTCATACCCCCCCTAAGAACAGGCCATAACATGCACGGCCTTCTATTTATCATGATGTTGAATAGGATTATAGGACACTGAGATTTTGCACGGTGATGCAAGAATTATCTCTGGTATACTTGATAAGAGTACGGAGATTGAACTTACACCTTTTATTTTAGTTTGCAACCCGTCCTACCTTGCTATGGTGATTAAACACATTTGGATATGATACTAATATTTAGGTCCACAAATTTCCACCTTCCACTAAGTTTATCTAAATGCAAAAGTTTTATCTTCTCTCAACTTATGTCAATCCCAGTAGGGCCAATTTAGCTCCCCTGTTGCTTTTATACCAATTTCACCATATAATTTGTTTTTGTTATTTTCCATGTCATTACGCCTATGCAGAACCTGGTCTACCACCTGTGAATCCGCCCGACAGTCATGCATTTAAAAAGCCCAAGAGTTTGGCACCAGCACCCCAATCATTTCCGCCACCGCCTCCGAGTTCATGTATGCTACCTGAGGATACTATCTTTTGTATATGAATTCATCAATATATGTGCTCTATCCAATCATGTAAGCTACTCAGCTGTGATCCATTCATCTTTTCTATTTGCCAGATTGCATGGCGTTAAATTGTCAAGATCCTCTGACCAATAGTCTCCCTGGAACTACATGTCTTTGTGTGTGGCCAATAAAAGTTGAGCTTCGTTTAGGTATAGCTTTGTACACATTCTTTGCATTGGTATCAGAACTTGCACAAGATATTGCATCTGGAGTGCTCATGAAACAAAGTCAAGTTCGTGTAATGGGAGCAAATGCTGCAACTGAGGACCCAGAGAAAACAGTTGTCCTTATTGATCTTGTGCCACTGGGAGAAAAATTTGACAAGGCAACAGCACTTTTAGTATTTGAAAGGTTTTGGCACAAGCAGGTCAACATAAACTCTATGCATTTTGGAAACTATGATGTGTTATATGTTACCTACCAAGGTAAGAGCTATTTGTAATTTTTATTGTGTCATTATACATATTCTCTTTGTTAATTCCTATAAACCTTATTGGATTTTCCGATATTCGAGTAAATCCTTAATTATTTTGTTTATTATTCAGGTCAATCAGTTCACTTCCTCTGTGTGTGTGTGTGTGTGTGTGAGTGAGTGAGTGAGTGAAACCACTGGCATGATATTCTTTTTAGCCGGATCGGCCAAAGGAAGAGGCTGATCAAATTTCATTAAGATTGATGGAGAAAAAAAATAGAAATTGTAAAAGAGTACAACAACAGTAGTCTGTCGAAACTGGTGGCACCCCAGCTAGCTGGGTAACCGGAAAAAGAAAAAGGGTAGGGATGGGCTAGAGACTAGTCGCCATCTCCTTTCAAAATTCCTGCTGTCCTCCAGACAGAGATTTCATCTCTAATTTCATTGACATAGTTTGTTTTTTAGAAAGGGTCTTGATATGGTTACTTTCACTTATTCATACAGGTCTTCCTCCGTCGCCACCAACAGCTCCCAGGATGAACAATGGTCTTAGCAATGTTAATGATCCAAGGTTGCATCCACTTGCTGTTGATGTGGGAAACCACAGAGAAACAAAAAGCAGGGGCATAATTGTTATAATTGTTCTTTCAAGTGTCTTTGCTTTTATTTTATGTTCTGGAGCTGCGTTGGTAATTTGTTTCAAGATTAGAAACCGCAACCATTTAACTGAAGAGTCACCTATGCCACCGAAGCCTGCAGGTAACAAGACATTCAATCCATGCAGTGTTGCTGTATTTATCTTTATTAGTCACATATTAGAAAAGGTGTAGCAAATGCAATCTGGTGAAACAATCATTGTCATTCTTTCCATGACTATGGGTGAGTTCGCTACTGGAGGTTTCCAACCGGGAACAGTGCGCGCGGAAAACGGAGCGGTTCATTAGCGCGTGATTAATTAAGTATTAGCTTTTTTTTCAAAAATGGATCAATATGATTTTTTAAAGCAACTTTCGTATAGAAACTTTTTGCAAAAAACACACCGTTTAACAGTTTAAAAAGCGTGCGCGAAGAAAACGAGAGGGGAAAGTTGGGAACCGGCAGTGCCGAACACACCCTATATCCATTCTGAGGCCTTGTTAGGATTGTTTGATTATTTTGTAGAAAACCAATCCACATAAAATGATCATTCGTTTTCTAGCTTTCAAGAACTGAGAAGTTATGTTTCATATTTGTATGGTTGAAAAGTAATATTACCTTGAAATAATCAAAGAACAAGAGTTATATTTCATGCTTAAGTAGTGAAAGTACTTGGAACAGCTTTGACCAAATCTGAAAGGATTATATTTTTGCAAAAGTTAAAAACTGATGCTAAATTATTTTCTTCCATCAATGATTGCATTGGAAATGTAGGTCCTGGGTCTGCAGTTGTTGGGAGCAGGCTAGGAAGCAGACCTATTTCAGCATCTCCATCTTTCAGCTCAAGCATAGTGACATATAAAGGGACAGCGAAAACATTTAGCTTGATTGAGATGGAAAGAGCTACACAAAGATTTGACAACTCCAGAATTATTGGCGAGGGTGGTTTTGGACGTGTTTATGAAGGTATTCTTGAGGATGGAGAACGGGTTGCTGTCAAAATTCTTAAGAGGGACGACCAGCAAGTTACACGGGAATTTTTAGCTGAGCTTGAGATGCTTAGCCGATTGCATCACAGAAACCTGGTTAAGTTGATAGGTATATGCACAGAAGAACATATCCGGTGTCTTGTGTATGAGCTTGTTCCAAATGGTAGTGTGGAATCTCACTTGCACGGTAATATTTTGTTCTCTTTTTTTTTCCTCTGAACAGTTTCTAAGGCATCATTTGTTACTTTATCGTGTCTATTTTGCTTGGAGAGATGCATCAAACCAGTCAAGCACTTTGTTGACAAGAAATTCATAATTCTGCCCTGTAGATAATACAGCTGTTGTCGCTTATAACAAAGTCACACATGTGAACACTGTGCACTAAGACATGAAATGTATTGTGCACTAATCTCCTGTTACATTATGTTTTTTTAAGGGAATCCCATTACATAATGTTTCTTAAGGGAATTCCTTTCCATCATGTTGACAAATACAAACTTGCATTTTATAAAATTTTGACATGTTTCATGGATTCATAGTACATCCATATTCTATTCTCCTTAATAGGTGACTTTTTTGGCCAGACATAAGTATTTTGGCCGGTCCGTAATAGCTAACTAGAATAATATGGTTCTTTTTTTTAAAATTCCAAGCAGGATCAGATAAGGGAACTGCTCCACTTGATTGGGATGCTAGGCTTAAAATTGCACTTGGTGCTGCACGTGCTCTTGCTTATTTGCATGAAGATTCTAGTCCCCGTGTCATACACCGTGACTTCAAGTCAAGTAACATCTTATTGGAACATGACTTCACCCCCAAGGTGTCAGACTTTGGCCTAGCAAGAACAGCCATAGGTGAGGGGAATGAGCATATTTCAACTCGTGTTATGGGAACTTTCGGGTAAGTTTTGATCTGAAATTATTATCTTACTACCTGTAGTTGGTTAACATCCTCACCTTAAAAAGATTATGAACTCTTTTTAGGTATGTTGCTCCTGAATACGCAATGACTGGGCATCTTCTAGTAAAGAGTGATGTCTACAGCTATGGTGTCGTCCTCCTTGAGCTTCTTACCGGAAGGAAACCGGTGGATATTTTGAGACCTCCAGGGCAAGAAAATTTAGTTGCATGGGCTTGTCCTTTTCTTACTAGCAGAGATGGCTTGGAAACAATAATTGATCCATCACTTGGAAATAGCATCCTATTCGATAGCATTGCAAAAGTAGCAGCTATTGCTTCTATGTGCGTGCAGCCTGAGGTGGATCAGCGCCCATTTATGGGTGAAGTTGTTCAAGCTTTGAAGTTGGTATGCGATGAAGGCAGCGAGTTCAATGAATCAGGAAGTTTCAGCCAAGATTTACATATTCAGGATTCTGGGATTATAAGTAGAGCAAGCCTGGATGTGGACGTAGAACCTGTTGTATCTGCTGAGCTGTTCAATGCATCAGCACATTATGACACTCTTGATGCATCTGGTTCTTTTCGACGATATTCAAGTTCAGGTCCTCTTAGGGTAGGTAGAACCGGGCACAATAGGGAGAGGGGTTTATCAACTGGTAGCTCAAGCGAGCACTGTGGTACACAAAGATTCAGGATAGATTCAGAGTAGTCAGCTTGCAGGCTTCTTTTGACGATGTGGGGCTGTGTTCATTGGCTTCTTTTCGCAAGCCACATTTCATATTCATTGTGAATATCTGTGAAGAGCACTGAGCAATATCACCAGCTTCTGCCGGGACAAGGACCAGTTTTCGAAGAGCACTGAGCAAGACTGCAAGAGTACCAACATCTCGTCCCGTCCCGTCTCTGTTTATACAGTTCTAGAGATCTATAAAGCCGGTTCCTTTTTTTTAGTGGAAAGTAAAGCCGGTTCATCAACTGCGGTTCATCAACTGTAAATGTTCATGTACCTTCCCAAGTGTAGCCATTCCTTTCGCATGGAAGGTAAGTGAAATATCAGATGAAATGAAGGGTATTTTTGCCTGTCATCCTTTCATCCGGTTCAATGAAATGGAGTCTTGCATGATTTACTGCATTTTATTGATTTGTGGTACCAAACAGATAGAAACGTATACCAGTTGTAAATCTGCGAATAAATAGCCAAACTTGCATAAGTAGGCCTTGTTTGACACTTAGAAACTTTAGCGAACAACTATATTCTTGTAGGGGTTAAATAATAAAAGGGAAAATTGAAACCATGCCATTATAATTTTACAAAATTTAAGATATGTCATTCTGACCAACATGTCATTGACTCATATGGGTCCTACATGTCATTGAGATACCGATGATATATCTTAAACTTTGCAAAATTATAATGGCATGGTTCCAAATTACCATAAATAAAATTGTTGTGCGATAAACAGCTAAGGCAACCAGTGGATAAACTTAAATAACATTCCTGAACTATTCACTTGGATGAACTAGCGAGTCAACTTGGCATAATCATTTCCTCATTGACAACTTATCCTACCACAGGAGGCCGGGATATATTAGTAGCCTTCCTCAACAAGTACGTGTGCCCCCCACACCTGGCTGGAGTAAGGGGATACACTATAAATTGCTAGGATTGCATCAGGTTACATCAGGTCATGATACTTTGTCGGCCATCTCCCAGATGGGGAAAAAAATCAATATTCATCCATCCAATGCTGAATACAACACCTTACTGGAACAAACCACACTAAAAAAAATAGTGGTGGTGGCAGGAGGCAAGTATTTCATCAAGTAGATGCATTGCCCTACGTGGTTACATCCAAACTGTAGGGTTTCCAGCACTAAATCATTTCACATGATAAAAAAAAAACTGGCAATCATCAGAGAACATGAACAAAAAATAAAGATTGCAGTGGGCAAATATGAACTGCAAAAGACTAACAAGCAAATCAAACCGATTAACCGATAAACAAAGGTGAGAAAGAACTACGACAGCTAGGGAATGTATACATGTCTTGCGAGTTTTAGGTTGCTGAAGGAGCTTCCTTTTCCTCAGCTACAGCTGGAGCATCTTGTTCTTCTGCTGTAACTACAGAATCTTCCTTTGCTTTGTCTAGACCCACAGCTACCGAGAGCCAATCTGAAGCAGGTGCTCCAGTTTCAGGAGCCACATTTCCGTGTATATTCAGAGGAGTGACAGATATCTGTAGGTTGTAAAGAGAGGTATACGGTTAGCCACTTTACACTTATACATGCATGTGCACACACAGAGCAAGGGAAGGAGGGCTCACAAATCCATTCTCCAAAGCTCTCAAATCGATATCCTCGTCTAAGCATTCATGCTGCTTTTCAGTGAACTGCATTCAACATAATCAGAGAAGAAAACAGCGCTCAGTAACATGTTCATATCTACAAAAACATCAACGCTAAAAACATCTGTAGGCTATTCACAATCTCCATATGAGCATATTGGCCTAATTTGGTACTGTCTTAAAGTTCATATGTTCTATACATGGTCGGACAAGTCAAATAATCTTTGGCTATAACACTCTGGAAGATATATTTACCTCAGCACGGAAAAGCTTCTTCACTACTTCTCGAGCCTCTGCTTTCCCTGTAGATGCAACAGACTCAACCTCGACAATCTTCCGCTGAGCATTAATTCTGCGTGCAGCCCCCTGTAGATGAAAACCACAACAAATTTGAGGATGTGCTAACAAGGACACGTCAAATTTCTCTGAAACAAAAGCATGGCTTCATACTGCTGCAGATGCATCCTTCCCAAGTTGTGCGAGCTGAATACCAAGGCTTTGGTGCATGCCCATGAAGTGAGTAGCAGGTGTAGGTCTGCTTGTGGACACACCTTCCCAACTTTGGGCAGGACGATATATGCTTTGCTTAGTCAGCTTGAAACCCTGATATCAGATATCAGGAGAGAGATGCATTAAAGAAAGGCTATTACATTAAAAAAAACTAAACGAGCAGTAGATCTTTTTATCCATCAGTCATCACAAAGAATGCAAACTAACACAAGATAAAACAAAGTGGGATGGCTTCGCCAGTTTCATGATCTAAATTTCAAATAATTAACTGTTGCTCATCCAATTAATAGTGTTGATCTCCTGTACAGATATTTGCATGGGCATACAATCTGCATATACTATATAACTTTCCCAACAACTAGTACACACCTGATAAATAAGGCTAATGGATATTTTTGCATTTGTGGGCAAGCCAGTAAGGTAACTAGTACCAGGACGACTAAGACAGTAAGCATTCTGTACAGATCAGAAATCATGGACTCACGATGCAGAAAAATAGCGAAGAACCCATGACCATTTTGAAGCCAAGGAAATATGAATGACATGTTTCAGCATATTTGGAAGATACGAAAGCTTCATTGTACTAATTCTTAGCAATTCAATCATCGGTGAGGTGCAGGCAGCTGCCATGAGATTCCTGAACACTTTCAAAACCTTAACTCCAATAACAAAGGAAACAGCTTATGTTCTGTTTTGAATAATGTAGAATCTTGTTTCTTTGCCCTCAAGGCTAGCCTCTCAAGGAAATATGTATTGCTCTAGTCCATAGTATTATAGCAACAGCACGGTCATGTGCTACTGTACGTTTATAAGCCAATGTTGGAGAAGACAAGGAGTTGGTTTACTTCTATAGCTATGGAAATTTTGGCCTATGGTGCTAGTTTTGGCCCTAAACTGGAGTTCAAGATTCAGAATTCAGTTATTAGCAGAATAACCTTATTTGTAGTTGGTGAGCTTGGAACCCCAATGTTCAGTAAGCAGCCTCTGAGGAAGGTTCCTTTCTCAACGCCTTCCAAGGCAGCGTGTATCAATGGTAGGCAAACCTCAGCAGCATCCTTGAAATCACTATCTTTGCTTTCATCCTTCTTCCTACTTGCACATATCCAGCACAAATTGTTACCAAATGTGATTGCATAAACCAATTTATCTAATTATGAAACATATTTGAAATACTAATATCACACCATTAAGGCACACCCACCAATTCAATGATATTGCAATTGAAGGAACATCATACAGTAAGGCCTCCCTTGCAGCAGCAATGGCAGAAGAATGAAACCTACACAATTTTGCAGTAAATTAAAGAACAGGATAGAAATCAGACAATGAATTGGGCATTTCTGAAAGAATCATACATCTCATATCCACAGTTCGCCCCTGCATTGATCCCACTGATCACCTATAAACGAAACGAAAACATCCTCAATGATCACAAGGTTAGGCGATCAAGTTCTTACACGCAGATAGCAAACACAATACTAACCAAAGCAGGCGCCGACCAAGAGAACAGCCTCCCAGATAATGCCAAAGAGACGCAATCCACCGGTGTCCCTACAATAACAATAATCGCAATGAGATAGAAACACCAACTCTCACTGTATACCAGCAACAGTGCGACCCAAATGGATCGAGGAAAGGATGTAGAACACTCACCTGATATCTCGAAAGCTTTCGCCCCTTTGAAATCCACCGATGTTGCTGTAATGGTCTCGCGGATGGTAATGGAATAGCCGCAAGCAGGCTTGTCCCTTCACATCATCATCAAGAAAACAATACAGATTATTTACAGCTGGGACCAATGGATTAGTTGGTTGGTAGAATTCGCAACAAATCCAGACAAAACAAGGTATTTTCCCGAGGTCAAAGAGAATATCGTAAGGAGGAATCGAGGATTGGGGGGCGCATACGATTCGGGCGCGCATACGTGGACGTCGCATCGGCCGCCGGCGACGAGGGAGTCGACGAGGGCCGCGAGACCCGGCGCCCGGATCCCGCCGGCGCAGGTCAGGAGTACGGCCGGCTTCGCGGGACCTTCATCGGCCACGGGAGCAGCGCCGGAGGACTCCGCCGCCTCCGGTGCCGGGGCCTCGGCGCCGGCCTCCTCCGCGGCCGGCGGCGGCGGCCGGCGCGCCGCGAGGACGGACTGCAGGTTGGACACGAGCGCGGACGGGAGCGGATTGGGCCTCGGCGCGTCGTCGCCGGAGCTCGCGGCCATCGGGCTTCCCTTCGCTTCGCCTCGCCGGAGAGGTGTTTGGGCGTGGAGGAGAGAGAGAGAGAGAGAGAGAGATGTACGGACGAATGAAGGGAAGAGAGAGAGGAGGGGTTGGAACGCGAGGGGGGAAGAGAGAGAGAGAGAGAGAGAGAGAGAGAGGAAATGGACTGAAATGGGCTGGGCGCGCCATCGCATAGTTAATGGATTTCTAGACCGGGGCCCGCTTTACGTGTAGAGGGAGGCAGGTCTCTGTTTTGACCTGCACAGATACGTGGGAAAGCGTTATCTACTCGACGACTACTCCCAACTTGCCTCAGCAAAGCGTGGCAAGAATCCGTGATTCTCCCGTTCCGATACCAAATCCACTATCATCAACCAAAATAATAGTTTTACTGGTATTATTGTGACCAACATGCGGGCATGAACACGGAACTCTGTGGCTAGTATGGGGTGGAATCTTTTCTTAACATGGATTACAAAATTTTACATATTTTTTTACCAACAATGGTACAGCCTATTCTAAATGAAAAAAACAAATACACCAAAAATAGTAAATCTAGAGATAAAATACTCCATCTGTTCTAAAATATAGGAACTTTTAGCTGGTTGGGACATATCCTAGTACTACGAATCTGGACAGGAGTAGATATGTCCCATCCACCCAAAGTTGCTATATTTTGAGACGGAGGGAGTAGTTGTAAAATCTAATTTTGATGCAGTAACTGAGTGTAGCTATAAGTTAGGTATAAAGGAATGTAAATCTTGATGTATGATCCAATGAAAAAAAACTGAAAGATAGAAGTCCAAAAAACTTTTGTTCGTGAAATATCAAAACTGCTTAATAATCAGATGATATGAAAGTGAAACGTTGCTGTGTTGAAGATGCAGGCCAATGTAGTGGGAGAGGTACTCGTTGTAGTACAACGTTAGTACGTAACTACGCTCGTACGGTGCAGGATCAGCCGGATCCTCCCTTGACCACGTCCATCTAAGCGAGTGGGCCAACCCGCGGGCGTAAACGCTTTAGGGTTCGCCCGTCCAGATTAATTCCCGTTGTACCACCAAGCACGAGGACAAACGCAAGACGAGCTCGCTCGGTCGCTCCCCTCGCCCCTCGACACCCACCACACCACGACGACTCCTCGTCGTGCGAGGTGCGCACGTTGCACGTACGTAGCCGGGCGGGAGACGCGCGCGCGCGCGGACGCACGGTTGCTGCGACCCACCCAGGCAACAGTCGTCGTGGGAGCGCGGCGCTAGCTCACTACCCCTGCCACCCCCATGTGCCTCCGTCTCAGAACTCATGTGAGAAGCCGTAGCCAGCCAGTGCGGCGGTCGGTTCCAAACTTCCAATGCCTCGCCGAGCGATAGATCGGCAGATCGCCCCGCGGGGGTGGGTGCCGTGGTGGACTGGTGGTGGGGGCGGGCCGGCCTATCTCCTCGTCGGATCCACCCGCCCGCGCCGTGCGGAAAGGCTAATTTTAGCCTGCGGCTGGTTGGCTGGATCGGTCGGTGACCGGGGTGGCCGCGCCCGCGCGCTTGGGTTGGGACTTTTTGGGAGTCCTCGTGCCAAGGCAAACAAACGTTGGTGGACCATCAACGGGACACGTGCTGTGGCGACCCGATGGAGGCGAGCGTTGCGTCGTTTTCTCTTCGTAATTGCGTGCGAATTTATTTGCGGAGCCCCCGAGCCTCTGCCACAGGCCACAGTGGAACCGTACGTATGCACCATATGTTAATCATTCAGGATTTCAGATGCATGACTGCATGAGGGCTCTCTCATTAACGAGTAAGGAGAGAGATCTGGAGATCTGGTGCTGACAATCATTCGTTTCTACTATACTGTGTAGCCCCCGTGCCGTAGATGGTTGCTGGTAGTTTGCAGATCACCCAACGAATAAAATAACTTTTTTTTTCTGGCAGGCTAGGAACAAGGAACACTGGCGATCTGTTTATGTGACTAACTTTGCCAAACCAAATTTTAGGTAAACTGGGCACATAACCACACGTTAATCAAGCTCATGTGAAATTGACAGTTGATATTTGAGATTATATACTAATCCCTCTGTCCCATTTCAAGTACAACTATAAATTTCCGTGTCCAACTTTAATCATTCATCTTATTTAAAAAACTTTTATAATTAATATTTTTATTATTATGAGATGATAAAATATGAATAGTATTTTATATGCGACTTATGTTTTTAATTTTTTAAAAAAATTAAATAAGATGAACGGTCAAAGTTGTACACGGAAAATTATCTCTGTATTTTAAATGGGATGGAAGGAGTAGATAAAATTGGTATGGCAACTCACGATTATAATAACGAATCAAACGACATCCTAGAAAGTTCTGGCATATAAGATTTGACCTGGTAAGTTAAGACTATGAATCAAAGTATTTTTGTATCCGGCCAATAACACGTATTATGAGCTTGGAAGCCAACCTACTATTCCCTCCATTTCATTTCAAATTATGAGTTGTTTTAATCTTAGTGTCAAACTGCTTCAATTTTATCAAAATTTATAGAAAATGTAGTAATATTTTCAACGCAAGACAAATATATTATGAAAATATACTCAATTATAAATTCAATGAAACTAATTTGGTATTATAAATATTACTATATTTATCTATAAACTTAGTTAAATGATTTATAATCTGAAACGGAGGGATTAGCTACAACTTGTGAAGTTTTAATTCTCCTATATTTTTCTTCTAAGATTTTTTATTTTAAACGTACGGTTGCTGAGTCGATCTCCATTTTTCCTCCACTTCCTTAGTTATGCCACTTGTTTAATGAACTAATTTATTTGACTTTGTAATATCCTTTTGTCTGTTCAAGTTGACGTGGCTAGCAGCCTAGCACATTGCTGTACCTACTACTCCTATGTTGTTATGAAATTCAATATGCATTGATTACATCGATGACATTCCAACACACAAGGGGCGCAATCGAATTACCACATCCGTACGTTTGTGACGACTTAGTATTTGTTTGTCACTCGATACGGGCATGGTGATAAATTATCACTCGATACATATTTGTTTGTCATGACTTAAATATACACAATCATATAATTCTCTCGGCCGGTACTCCTACAAGATTAATCAGTTTGCTGGACGCTATTATTAGGCATTTCCATGATTAACCAATCGTTGCCACCTTTTCAGGCCTACCCACAAATTATTTAAGCTATATGTAGCTTACGCACAAAACACCTGTCATCCACATACGCCACCTTAATTTAGCACGCACCAGAGAAACTAAACCGTTCACTAACTAAACACGACTAGCTAGCTAGCGAACGAAACAAAACACCAGGCATTTATACGTTACGTTGCATCTTGAGCAAGCCGCACTTGCATAGCCTTGGGCCAAATTAATTAACCGGCAGCACGTTGCCCGGCCGGTTGATCGATCACCACCAGCAAGCTAGAGATGGCGAGACGGGCTGCATCGGTGGCGCTGGCGTGCGCGGTGGTGGCGGCCGCGATGGTGCTCCCGGAGGCGGAGGCGGGGCAGAACTGCATCTGCGAGTGCGTGAAGCTGTGCATGCGGACGCGGATCCCGAGCATCGAGGCGCAGTGCTCGGGCAAGTGCAGGGAGACGGCGTGCGTGCGGAGCTGCGAGGAGGCGTGCGCGCGCAAGGGCTTCCCCGCCCTGCCCGGCGAGGGCATCGGCGCCTGCGAGCTGGAGCCGCTCACCCCCGACGAGGCGCACATGCTGCACTGATCATCGAGTCACCAACCAATCGATGGCAAGCCTCACCGCCGTTTCCGTCTCTGTCTCTGTCGCTGTGTATGTTTCTGTCTCCGCCTCTTCTGCGCTGTTGTATACTTGTATATGTGTACTACATCTACCACACCGGTCAAAGTGACATTCCATCCTGGCTCATGTGTCGCGCTACATACGATACGGTGCGTAAGCGTAACATACGTTTGATTATTGTCAGTTTTGCTTGCTATGGTCGCGGTTGCGCACTGACGGGATCGACCACATCTCTGACTCTGAGGCCCAGCTAACATGTTTCCTGGGCCCGTCTTAGGAAGTCGATGCAACGAGGCTTTTAGCCCAAATAATAGTGGACATCCCTTCTGCTGCCTTTCAGGTTTCAGCCCAAATAGAACCGTGGGCTGCCAGCGGCGCTCGTGGGTCTACGCATGTCGGTCCGTTGCGCCGCAGCAGAGGTTGCTGCCTTGCCTGCCACTGTCATGTAAGCAAATTTTTTTTGCCGTTTCCTTATCTTATTTCGTTCATGTGTCCGTTTATCTTTTTTTTTTTGCGCAATTAACGAGTCCGTGATCGACTTTGTTGGCTTGCTGCTATCTGAAGCTCTGAACCTGTTGAGCTCGTGGCACGCCATTCGCTTAGTCCACATCAAAGACATTTGTACACTGTAGTGCACCCTTGTCCTTTACCTACGGAAAATACTAATACATGCATCTTCGCTCGTTAGCGAAAAGGATATGCTTGTCTTTCTAGGAAATGATCTCTTCAAGACAACAAATCCATGTTATTCTAGAAATGAGGGCAATGATGAGGAGCAAATTGCATTGGTTGTTTCTGTTCCAGTCCATATATATACACGCTCAATTAGTAAGAGCTAGCCAAAACTGGCATATATACTGACATTGAATAGGTTTTTGCTTAAATTTTTCTAGCAGATTTTGTTCAGATGATGTTCGCAGTTAGATATCGCTCGTTGGGTACTTTTTAATGAGATAGTACGAGTCCCCGACGGGGGAAAAATCTAAGGCCTCTTTGATTCAAAGGAAATTTATAGGAATTTTAAAGGATTTTATTTCTATAGAATTTTTTCCTATATAGACCTTTGAATCAAAGGAATGAATCCTATATAATCCCATGAAATTTCTATGGAATACCTCTTTCCATGTAAGTTTTAGAGGAAATTTAGCATGAGGTTCTACCTCATGTTAAGAATCTTTTGAGTCTTTATCCCTCTTTAAATTTCTGTGTTTTTTCTATGGCTCAATCAAACGGTCATTCCTATATTTTTCCTGTATTTTACAATCCTCTGTTTTATACTTGTATTCTTGTCAGAATCCTATGTTTTTCCTATTTCTCTGTTTTTTTATTCCTATGATTCAAAGGGGCCCTTAAAGCTCATTTGGCACGCATGATTCTCAAAATAGATGAAAAAAAACGCTGGATTGAAGCGTCTTAATACATCAAAACCTATGGTTTGAAAAAAACGTAGGAGAAATGAGCCTAGGAAAATAAGAGAGTCAGAACTGATCAGAAGAGATAGATTGACACAAGGATTTTAGAGGCTAAACCTCACGTCAAAATCACTAGTTTCGAACTAATCTAAAGAAATTTCATATAATCTTTTAATAGTTATTGATTTGATCCAAAAGACTAGTGTAGGGTTTGTTCATTTTGGAGAAAAAGAAAAGGATTTATTTTTTTAAGCATTCGGTTTTAAAAAAGAAGTATAGGAAATTTTCCTTTCCTATAAGTTGTAGAGAGAAAACATAAAAGAATATCATGCATCCACTTAAATCTCTTAAAAAAATTCATGTGAATTGACGTGTGCATGTCTTTCTATTCCTTGAATTTTTGGTTGAAATTTCTCCAAACTGAACAAACATGTGATTGGAAAGTTTTTATTAGAATTAAATTCCTAAGAGCAGGTACAATAACAGACTATAAGACAGCTATAAATATATTTTAAAGAGATAAAGAAAGAGAGAATAGCAGCGGGCTATAGATCGGTAGCCAGCTGCAGCACGGACTCCAAGACGTAATGTGTGTTTGACAGGTGGGACCAGGTATTAATAGTACAGTAAACAACTATTGTATGAATTATTCCCTCCATATTTTAATGTATGACGCCGTTGACTTTTTAACAAACGTTTGACCATTCGTTTTATTCAAAATTTTTGTGCAAATATAAAAATATTTATATCATGCTTAAAGAACATTTGATGATGAATCAAGGCACAATAAAATAAATAATAATTATATATATTTTTGAATAAGATGAATGGTCAAACATTAAATAAAAAGTCAACGGCGTCATACATTAAAATACGGAGATAGTAGCTAGTACATTAGCTATAGATAATTTAGAGATAGTAGCGGGCTATACTATTAAACTTGCTGAAAGGAAAAAAAACGTTTGTTCTAAAGAAGCTTCGAAGGCTCAAACTTCACGAGCCAAGCTGAAACGACTACGAGCATCCACCCTCGTTGTAGTTACGGGCCCGGGACTTCCGTTCTTACGAGGAAATACTTAAAAAATAACATATACTTCCCTCTGACTGTAATAAACTTTTGGAGCATAGTTTTGTGTTCTTCTTTTTTTTTTTTTACTTCAAAGAGGGAATTTTATTGATTACGGAAAAGAGGATTACATTCTTGGTCTATCAAGTCTATGACACTACTAGAAAAAACATTTTTCCCAACGTAGGGGTCTTATTTTCGCAGGCGGACATGACACTTAGAGCCAAATGACCGCCTACAAAAATATAAATCGGGGTGAAATTTGATGTCCGCCCGCGAAAATATCGCAGGCGGACCACTTAAGTGGCGCCTGTGAAAATGATTTTCGCAGGCGGACCACATGAGGTGCGCCTGCGAAAATTAGCATGGTATATATATGTGACAGATGGGCTGAAATTTTTCTAAGTCCTTTCCTCTCCCCTCACTCTCCTCTCCTCTCCCCTCTCCTCCCCTTCACATCTCCTCTCCCCTCACTCTCCCACCGGCAGAAGGGGCGGACAGCACGGGGCGGCTAGCGTAGGGCGGGCGGCGACTCCCCTCCCTCCCTTCCTCCCCTCCAGATCTGGCCGAAGGGGGGGGAGGGGGAAGGCCGGTGGCCGGGCGCGAGGCGTTGGCGGCGTGTGCTCCCGGCGGCGGCGGCGGCGGGCGCGTCCCTCCCTCCCGCGGCAGAGGGCGGCAGCAGCGAGGAGGGTCGAGGCGGCGCGTCTCCCAGCCCCTCCCTCCTAGATCTGGCCGGAGGGGGCAGGGGGAGAGCGGTGGCCGGTGGCTCCTGGCCCCTCCCTCCCAGATCTGGCTGGAGGGGGGTGGGGGGAGCACGGCGGCGGGCTGTGGCGGCGAGGAGGGTCGAGGCGGCGCAGCCACGGCGGCGCGGGGGGTTGAGGCGGCAGCGGCGGCGCGGACGACGGTGCGGCGCGGACATGCAGTGGCGGCGACGGACAACGGCTGGGCGGCGGCCGTGATTTTTTTGAATGTTTTTATTTGCTTTCTTTGCTACAATTGATTCGGTGATTTTGGATGAATTGAATGGATTGGATGGGGATGAAGTGGATGAATTGGATGGGGAATGGATTGGGAACGGGAAGCGACCACCGTCCGGCAGTGGCTGCCCATTTTTTTTAGCGCTCAAAGCTATTTTCGCAGGCGGACCTGTTGCCCGCCTGCGAAAATCAACTATTTCCGCTGGCGTTGAGGTGCAGGCGGACGGCTTGTCCGCCTGCGAAAATATGATTTGGCCGCCTAGGAAAAGCCTTTTTCTAGTAGTGAGATTCTTGCGGGAGCACACAACTTCCACTCCTCACACGATCTACCTCATAGCCATTTGAGCTAGAGCATGAGCAATCCTATTTGCTTCCCTCTTGATCTTGTAAACCTGCACACTTTGTGTTCTGCTAATGCTTCTAAGGTAATATTGGAACAGCATTTCGGTCGCTGCACCTAATTAATTATCCCTATGTGTACATTCATATGTTGGAAATACATACTTTTACTCTATTTATCAATAAGAATAGCGCTATCTATGCACATTAGGAAGCACATATACATATATAGTATAGTAAATCAGAAGTTCAACTGCAACTGATACCTCACCCATTATATACGTACTTAATTACCACTTACCAGTCCTACACATTTATATGAAAAATATAAAAATGTATCTACATGTAACTTATGTGAAACATATATACCCTAAGATACATGTTATTTTATAAATTAAGATCTATATATATATTTGAAACTTAATTAAGACGAGAACGAGTTTATAAACCCGTGTGTTACGCAAGCACCGACCAGAATACCCCCGAACATGCATGCATAATTGCATATTCAGGGAATCCAGTGAGGTTGCATGGCGGTGTTCGCCGAGAAGCTGTCGACGGATGAAGCACTGGCCGCCGACGTCGTCGACGACCCCAGGATGGCGTCCATGAAGTCCATCACCGGACCCATGGCCGGATCGGCCAAGAAAGCGCCGCCGCCGCCGCCCTTCTGTTCGACAAACGCCGGGAGGCAACTCCGGGCCACGACGCCCTCTGGAGCCAAGAGATGATCACTTGGCTTGCACTGACCCCCGACGATGCCAGCGGCGCCGTTCTCCAGCTGGTACGCCTCCGCTGCTCGGCACAGCCTGATGAACTCCCCGTCGACGGCGGCGGCGTACTGAAGGTCGCCGCCGCCGCAGCCGTGGACGCCGTGGCCGGGGAGAAAGATTGGCTGGTGGGAGCTGAAGCTGGCCCATGCCGCGGAGTTGTACACGGAAGACGGCGGCGATTGAGTGACACCGTGAGCTGCATTCTCCACCGCGTTCAGTGACGCAGCTGCGATGCTCTGTCCTGCTCCGTCCAGAATGTTGTAGTACAAATCTAGATCAATGCAACAAACATCGAGTCGATCAGTAATTATTCAGTATTCAGTACACTATTACATGTTTGTCGTGAGTAAATTATATTCGTACTGATCCATGTGTAAACTAACAAGAACGAAAGGTATGAAAATTCATATGAGAAGCAGCATTTTTTCAGAAAGAAGTGAAAAATGTAGCACAGGTTTTACCTGCAGAGGAAGGGTGCAGACTACCCACGGCCTGGGAGATGAGCTTCTTCTTGATGGTGGAGTTCCAGAAGTTCTTGACCTCATTGTCTGTTCTACCAGGTAGGTGCTTGGCAATCTGAGCCCACCTGCATGCAATGCAGTGAATCACAGTGACACAGCATATGTTAGCCAGCTCAAATCTCGATCGATTGCCACATTTGCGCCCCGTCCTTTGTCTCAGATCAAGTTAATGCGATTGTGCATTACTCAAATATAGGCCAAAGCGTGCAAAGATAAGTAACTGTCACACTGTCATACATGGGACGTTACAGCCTCATCACATGATGCAGTTAGCAGCAACGCAGAGATGATTTGCAGGTAGAGACTGACCGACCAAGGATTACCTGTTGCCCAGCACCCTGTGGAGCTCAATGATGAGGGACTCCTCCTGCTGCGAGAAGCTTCCCCTCTTCAGGTCAGGCCTCAGGTAGTTGATCCACCTCAGCCTGCAGCTCTTGCCACATCTCTGCAACCCTGCATGCCATCAACAATACATGGATAACACGTTCACCGATCGATGCCATAAACCCAAGTAAACTGACTGAACTGAACTACTAAGCTAGTCTGAAGAAACTCTGAACTGAAACTCTGAACTTTGATCTGCGACTGAAAAAACTATGTAAACGTAATAAAGCACTTACCGGCTAGCCTGGGGACGGAGCTCCAGCAGCCATGGCCGTGCGTGGAGATGTACTTGACGAGCTTCTCGTCTTCCTCTGGTGACCACAGGCCCCTCCTGACCTTCTGCTTGTTGCAGCAGGAGTGGTGCCCCATCTCCCTTGACCTCTCACTCTCTCGCTGTACTCCGTGTAGGCTAGGCTCTTGATATCCTCTTCTTCACACTGCCGGCAGTAGTAATACCGGCCAGAACTACTCGAGCTTTTCAGTAGTTACATGGTTATTATAAAGAAGAGAGGAGAGGAAGAGAGAGAGCAAATGAGCAAATACGCCAACTGCATGCATGCCATTCCGCTACATCTAAGGGCAGGCAGATCAAAAGCAAGGAGAAGAAAAGCTGGGCCTGAAACTGTGCATGCAGTTGAGTCGATCGTCCTAGCTAGCCAGGACCCTAGCTAACCTAGACGTGTGAGCTCCATGTTACGTAGGTTACTTCAAAAGTGAGTGGCTCAAGCCAAGTGAGGGGTACTGGAGTGATGAGGGTGAATGGAGGAGGGCATTTTGGTAACTTAAGGCCCCACTGTGAGAGGAAGACTTGTGCCATGGAATTGAGCTCCTATGCCTGGTTAGTTTTGGGAACTCCTGTACTGTGGTGTAAGTGTGTGATGCCTGAGTTGGGTGTGTGTGTTTGCAAGCGTAAATTTTCACCGCTCTATCAGTACGGCCATAACTGCTATAGTCTGCTAGTAGCTTTCTTCAAACTACTAACATGGCAGCAGCTACCATTTAGACTAGTATCAATTCGTCTGTGTACATCTAATGGTCCAAATATGTTCACTCTGATCTATCATCTATATTTGTACGAGAGCCCAAATTGCATGTGTATACGTTTTGTATTAGCATGCACGCAGGTAAAAACAGGCATTACCTAGTGACTATATAGCACTAAATAAAGCAATGCACGTAGTGCCATTCATTCACCTTTGACAATTAAACGATCAAGAGCTGCGATTCTCTTGTCTATACGCCCTGCCAGAGAGAAAGACAAGGGATCAGGATCAACTGCAACAGAAACAGAAGATCTCTGGCTCTCTGTACGTATGTGCATGTCTTCTTAGGTAGCTTGCCCGAAAAGATTGCAGTTGTAATTAAGCCGAGTAGGTGGCGATCCGTATTTGCCAGCGCTCTCGATCGGCAAAGTATTCGTTCTAGGTAAATTAAGGACCGATCCTAAGCATGTATAGCTAGGTTTATCGATCTGAAGAAACCTGTAATGTGTGTGCACTCTGAATGATTCATGTTTGCAGACACAATTTTTTAGCTGATGCACTAACTACACTATGGGTTTATTTGATAGAGTTTCAACTCATAAATTTAGCTCTAGTAGTTGAATCTAGAGTAAAGTTGTAAAACAGCCTAATTAAACCCAGCTCCGCTCTCATTTTAGGTAGAGCTAAAACTGTTTGGCCGGATGGAGTTGAAGCTAGAGCTGTGTCAAATAAACCCTATATATTTTGCAACGTTTATTTAACTCTCAAATTAGCTTCACTTCAGTTTTTGCCGTTGCAACCAGTGGTCGACACAAGCCGATGTCAAGAGGCTAAAGGCAATATTATAGGTTGTAGTACTAGTACCGTAGTACGTACTTGCTGGCGAAAGATTGACGCGAAAGAGGTGAGCGGTTTCGGACAAGAAAAATCGAGTGGGCCGGGCGGGGACGGCAGCCGTGCATATGCATATGCATGGGCCTCTTGCAGAATAGAGGAAACGCGACAACGCGTAGTAGCATTCAACCCCGTACCAACGTACATACGCGCGCGATCGCTCACAGAGTCGTCGATCACCCCGTCGTCGCACGACCACTTCCCCACTCCTCTCGATAGACTCCGGCCATGATCGAAGCGTGCACCATACGGGTGTGGTCGCTCATGCGCACGTCGCTCGTGCCATCAATGCGCCGGGGACCCGCGCTACATGTCATGGCATGTACACGTGCTCGTACTCGTACTACTAATATACTCCATATGCATGGTACATAATACATGCCACACTCAAAGGTCACAGCTTTGCTATACAATGCTATATATGCTACAAACAATCATGTTGTATATATATTGTGCGTATGTAATACGTGCGAAACGAAATGATGAGAGGATTTGCTTGTATTTACAGTTAATTATCCTTTTAATAGTAAACAAAGTAACTATAAATAACGAGATATGTTCGTCATGATTTCGTTAACATCAAAATGTGTCGGTTCAGTTCTTTTAAGGTGCGTGTTTGTGTACTATGCTTTTTTTGTTAAAAAAAAAATGTCGTCCTAGCTAGCAGCGGCATGTACACATCCTAAAGACGAGGAAGAGATGGAGGTACGCCTGTACCGGCCGGCACTTTCACGTACACCTGCATGATAGGAGAGCAAAACGGCATGCAGGTTAATTAATAAACAAGTTGCATGGCCGCCCGGTACATGACACAGGTGAGCATGCATCACCGAGCTGAGGTTAATTATATCAGGTTAATTTCCTCCTCGGTTATTGGATTGTTTGCAAATCGTTCGTACCTGCCGCGGCGCCGGCCATGCATTTGCAGCAGCTAGTGGCCGATCGATCACATAAGTCAGTCACATGTGTGCCTACTTGGTTGAATATCAGTCCAGTTCGTCCGTGCGTACCCAAAGATGGGACGATGTGATTCCCCAACCACCGCCTACTTCTACTACTACAGCATGCAGCATGCATGCCACGCCCGAGATGACTTGGTTCAGTGGCAAGCTATTAGCCCCTGCAGCCTCCTTTTCGATCTGTGTTTCTCTTTCTGTGTTTACCCCCTTTGTGTACGTGCTACGTGCTCTGTTTCATTTGACGATAAATTAAGTATTAGTCGCGAGCTACAGTAGCTGTTTTCTTCTCTCCCTCTTTGCGTTAACCATAAGCAAACAAATGGCACAGCGCTTGTACGTGAGGCATAATTTAAGCCGATCGATGAGCTTTGCTATGCGTACGTAACTAGGTATATCCGGTACGTATTCATAGTGCCCATCCATCGGATGACAAATGTCCGGTCTTCGGGAACGGCAGTACGTAGAAACTGCTCCATGGTGCAGAAAGTACAAGCAAATATAATGCAGCTCTTGCTGCACTTGTAAGCGAAGCTACGGAATACACATCCTGCTGGAGAGACAAAAAATGCAGGTATATATCTTCATGAAAGAGGCGCAGTTTCTTTTTTTTTTCTCTCCCTCTCTTCGTCTTTTCAGTTATCACTGTCCATAATTAGAAAATTGTCAGCCACGTACGTTACGTGCATGTACACAGCTGCACGTGCGATTGCGCCTCCATGGACTTTCGGAGTAGAAAGTCACCTGACGTGAACGGGTTGTCAAAAAAAAAAAAAAACCTGACGTGAACGGTGCAGAATCAATCTCCCCGCCGTACATGGAGCAGGAGAAAAGGAGCATAAATAGTTCGTTCAGAGAGCTGTTCGGTGCTATACTAGTACTGCTACTTGGAATTAGTCGTCCAAGAACGCCGAGATGGATTGGAGTCGGTGGAGTCGATACCGAAAGAGTTGCAGCAGAGATTACAAAAGTCGTGTTGACAGCGTGCACTGGCATCTCGTCAATGCTTCCATTTCATAACCTTTCCAGTTCATGGATACAATTCGAGCATGACACCTCTCTAGCTTCACCTTTTCAAACGCACAATACAGATGCGCTTAACCGGATTCGCATCCTCACCAAATCAGCCTATATAATTAACCTGCGGAACCTTTTTTTTTTCAAATAACTACTATCTCCATTACGTTTTAACTTTGATCGAAGTCAAACTCATTTAAGTTTGACTAAGTTTTTAGAAAAAATAATAATATTTTCAATCTAAGATAAATTTATTATGAAAATATATTTAATTATTGATTTAATAAAACTAATTTAATATTTTAAATACTACTATATTTGTCTATAAATTTAATTAAACTTGAAGCGGTGTGACTTCAATCAAAGTCAAAACGTTTTATAACTTAAAACGGAGACGAGACGTCTTGCATGATCCGACAGTAATCAGGAGGCAAGATGAATTTACTACCTGCCCCAACGAAGGCCGCGAACGAGTCGTTTTCCAAACCCGTCCCGTCCAAGAGAAGCGGCACGGCGACGTCGTCGGTCGCAGTCCGCCACTCGCGTCGCTTTCAACGGAGAGGGGACGAGGGATATCGCCGCGCGCTGTAGCATCCGCATGCCGTTAGCCGGCAACCCCCGGCACCGGGGAAGGAGACAAGCCGAATCCCCCTCGCGGATATCGCCGCCCACGTCGCCACGCCCGCACGCCCGCGCCCGCGCCCGCGCGCGATGGCGTCGTCGCGTTGGCTTCGGATCGGAGTCCGGATGGGCCGAAACGACTTGGGAATAGTGGAAAAGGATCGGCTTGCTCTGGGATTGCCGGAAAAGGATCGGCTTGCGGCCCGGTGCACGGCGGTGGCGATCACTTGGGCTTAGAGACGTGAGGTGCCGCGTTGCTTGAATAATCGCCCGTGTGATGGATGGGGCTTGCTTTGTCAGCTCATCTGTTTGGCTGACCTTCAATTTCTAGATTTAGCTTCAGAAGTTAAGTCTGGGGGTATAGTTATAGAGCTGTCTGAGAGTCTATTTGGCACAGCTTTAGCTCCACCTCTCCTGGAGATAGAGCTCAGCCAAACAGCTCCACCTGAAATGGGAGCGGAGTTGGGTGGAGCGCTATCACCAAATGAACTAGAGAAGTGGAGCTGGGTTTAAGCAGCTCCACAGCTCCACTCCAAACTCAACTTCTGGAGCTAAATTTAGGAGTTGAAACTCTATCAAACATGCCCCAAACCCAGCTCTACCTCTTTAGTTCATTTTGTGAGAGTGCACCACCCAGCTCCGATCCTAGTGTAGGTGGAGCTGAAACTGTTTGGTTGGGCTCCAGCTCCGGGAGAGGTGGAGCTGCAGCTGTGCCAAATAGACCTAAAATTACTGCACTGTTGAGGATAAATTTGTCTCGATTAAATCAAAACAGACATAACACTTGGTAAAGTATCGACCAAACAATAGACACTAATATTTTGTGTAATATATATCCGTGCATTGCAACGGCCAATACCATTAGAAACGGGTTGGGTTGGATTTAGCATATTATTTTTTTTTTCACCAGATGGATTTCCACCAATTTGAGCTCGACATCAAATTATATTCAGGAGGATCAATCAATTAATGTAACTAACTGTTAACAACCAAATTTGGTAATATCGGCATTGGAAAAGAAGATTAGATTGAAGCAAAGTCGGAGGCGGAGATCGAGTTCGGAAACAGAGCAGGGATCGGCTGGAGTCCAGATCGGCTACGATAAGATCGGCTGAGTCTGAGTCGGACTAGGTAAGCCGATGTAGCCGATCCTAGCAATACAACTTGATGTGTGATGTCGGGTTAGATTGAGGTGCTTCAAGGTGATTGCCGCACATGGATAGAGTCCTGAGGAGGCAATTGTATCTATTAATTAGGATGTTTTATGTAATTTCCTTAGAGATATGATTAGGCAAAAGTCTGCCGCAAAGACTTATAGTATCTTAGAGTTTGTTAGAAATGGTAGTCGTGTCCGTTATGGACATATCTTGTAATTCTCGGGTATAAATAGACCGGAGCCCTATGTAACTTTTAACACACGTTCAATACAATCTCGGCGCATCGCCCCCCTTTTACTTTAGTTTTGTTTTGACGAGTTCTTGCTTTCGAGTTGAGCTGCATCGGTTTCGATCTTCAACAAGAGGTAAAACTTGTTATGACGACTTGTGTTTTCGGGATTAGTATTTCCATCTTTATGATACTCTGATCTCGTTTATATAATTCGCCGAGCTATCATATATCTTACATAATCTTCGGCAATACCGCTATCTAATCTACAATCGGCTAACATCTGTCGGTAGAAGGCAGCCGACCAGGTTAAATAGCGACGTTGACCTAAATTATATAAGATATTTACCACTTTATGAAACTTTCAGTGGTTTGATTGTCTAGATATTGTTCTTCTTTTCATACTTAATACTGCATCAGTTAAGTTTGATCTATTAAATCGTGCTTAGAATATCAACCTCTAGCCTGCCTTCTGGTTACCGATTAGGGTAGCATCGGAGTTTCAGCCGATCTTATCTGATTTAACTATATTTGCTCTATATGCTTTATTGACATGTTAAATCTGCCCTTTATGCCAAGATATTGATGTATTTGAATATATTAGGCTTTTGCTTGATATTCTATACCTGTTTTAATATCCTGATATAAAGTAGTATCGGAGTATTAGCCGATACATGCTAGATCTATCTGATCGGCTATGCTGTAAACATATATAGTCCTGTTATTAATATATATTTCGGTCTAAGTGATTTATACTGTCTCGGCATGGCGACCGATCTATCCCAATCACTTGATTTAATTATATATCGATATAAGGAGTATATATCGTTAACATCTACAGCCGATCAAGTAGATTTAGTTCTTTCTTACTTATTCAAGATTGCCGATCAAATACACATATGACATCGGCTCAAAGATAAATGATATATCATCGGCACTTAGCCGATCAACTATCATTTATAGATTTAACCGCGATTTCTTTGCTTCTACTTCTTGTTGATTACAGGATCAAATCAACTGGCACACTAGCACACCCGAAGGCGAGCTTTGGACCTGCACTGGAGTTAAACAGATCTCCCAGGCCTCATGTTTTCTGTCAACACTAACACAGCTAGGACCTACGAGGCTACGAGTACCAATTAAAAATCCTCCAAACAGCTTATAGTTTGGATGGTAAACAATATTAATAGTTTTACACATGCTAATATACATTCGTATTAATCCAAATCCTTGGCGAGGAAGAACTAAAACCCTATGCATAAAATAACAATAGCAATAAACAGCTCTGGAGGAGTAGGTCAAGATTTATGGGAAAACCCGTATGGAATTTTGAAACCTTTTGTAGCATCCTAAAAGTTGTGGTAGCACCCTACAAATTTACAACGTTCCACATCTGGTGGATGTAATGAATGAAAATAATGAATCGGAAGAATATGTAAGCTTGTTAGTTAACACAATTACTACTTGACAAGATTGAACCTCAGAGGCTTTATACAATTGTGACTTCACAAAAGGCACTTGATAAAATCTTGAAAGAGAACCTTGCCCTGCTCCATGTTTCTTACGGATGGATAGAAACTTCAATTAGAACCATGACCTGACATTTTCTTCTCTCTGGGAGGTATCTTCAGTAAACTCTTCATCGTGTCATATGCGGTAAAACCAATAGCCACAGAGGGTACCACCTATAAAAAGAAACAATATTTTTATAAGGGTCAATCTGGCTAACTCAACACATTTATGTAAGTTGCAACTAAATAATCTCTTGTGAATACACATCATTCAACAAGTAAGGTTTTCGGCTGAAACTGAGCTGGACAAATAGCTAAAACAAGAATATTGAAGACAATCATGCAATTCAATGTTGTATAAATGAAAGGAACCAAGGAAAATTAAGTTCAAGAGGGAAAAAAAATGATCTGCAGAATTTTATACATGCCACTGGAAAGATTCATACAGTTCTGACATGTACAACTGGAATCCATATCCTCTTGTCAGTTGAGTGGCAAATGCAAAAAGTGATGCTTTTCAGTGGAATATAAACGCAAATGACTAACAAGAATCGCCTCGCTCCAGGTTAGGGTGCAGAACATTGCTCAGAATTACCATGTAACCACAAAAGTTTCAAAGCCAAAGCAAGCACAGGAATGCTATTTTTTCTTGGGGCGTAAAGGTTCAGAATTTGAGGTTCTAGGAACTATTACGAGAGCGAGTATTATTACTTGGGTCTAACCAGTAAATAGTTGGTTATCACTTGGTTCTAGCGATTCTAGCTAGCAAAATAGTTAATGTACTTAAATGTTCCAGATGATTGACCTGCCATCAGTCCTAGCATTCTTGATTATCTGACTAGTACCATTTCCAGGATATTTTGAATGCAAATAAGCACCTATGTAAAATTGAACTATGAAGGGGAAACCAATAGATTATCCACGTGATTACCTTGATGTAATTGAGGCTCAAGCCAGCAAACAATTGCCTCCATCCCTGCGTTTGTTTGATGATCATAAGACCTTGGAATGTTCCCCTTATCTGTGGCCCACCAAATTTATCGTGATATTGTTGACTCTGAACCTACAAAATGGAAGCAGACGCAAATATGATAAATAGTTGAGGAACATAGTCTTTCAGAAAAATAAAAAAGGATATGCTAGAAGAGGAAGGATTATATGAGAAAATGGAATACCTGCATCTGCCTTCTTACAACATCTAGTGGGTAAGTTAGAGTCTGCCCAAATAATCCAGCAGCAGCACCACAGGACAACTTCAATGTGACAGAATTTTTGTAATCTTCAGGTACATGTGCCTTCAGTCCTTCGTATATGTAGAATTTAAGACCAGCATAAGGAAGTATTCCCATGAGCGTTGGACCTGAACACAAATAGATAAGAGTCCTCAGCAGCAAAACTACTACAGTAATGAAGGTACTGAAAAAACTGATACTCGTCAAAAGTGAAGCAGGAATATATACATCCGACGTTTTCAGTTCAAGAGAGAGTTTTATGGTGATTGAATAGCCATTTAGACATATATGAGTCGGATATACATACCTACTCCACGATAGAGAGCTCGCACTCCACCTTCTGAATAAACACCTCGAAAAACATCCTTTATTCCTCCATATTTTGGTTGAAAGTTTGTCCTCTTCAAACCACTACTGATTTGGTCTGAACTATTGACCTTCAAGCAAAACAAAACAAGCTTAGGACATATAAATGCAAAGCAAAAGATGTACAGCACATAACAATGCAAAGCAAAAGAAGATGCACACAATACAGACAACCAAAGGGTTCTTCATTAAACTAAAGAGCAACACTACATAACACACAAAAAAAAGGCTCATCCTAATGCGTCAGGGAATTTACTCCCAAGAGGTTACTGATGGACAATTCACAGTCTAGGTAGCATTTCTCCATGGCGACATAGCGTGATATTCCTTCTGCTCAGAAGTAAACGTTGTTTTCTTGTAACTACTTCAGCCCTAAAGATATCATCGGAGTAGTTTGCTACTTTACATCAATGTATTATTACTATTTTCAGTTTTCCATATGAGCGATTGAGAAACATTATATATACAAGTGACCAAAGTTACATAAACTTGATTGCACACATATGATAGCAAGCTAGCGAGATCTTAAAAACAGGAGCAGTTATGCTGACTTTCTACTATATTAATTATACTACACTATGGCTGTCAACTGCAATGAAGTGGGAATGTGCAAGCACAGAAGTGGGCAGTGGCCTAGAATGGCAAGTAAGCAATGCTAAGTGAGGACCAAGGACCAAAGAGAACAACAATAATGAGATGTGGATTGCAATACCTGGAAGGCAAGTTTAGTCCTAGCCAGATCCAAGGGATAAGTACACAACACTGCGGTTCCTCCAGATGCTGAACCAGCTAAAAGGTCTACTAAGGGTCCTGTCCCAAGTGAGGGGCAGTTATTCAAGATCCAACACCTGTATCGTTCATACGCCATATAATGTAATGCAGCATAAGGAACAATTCTTAATACACTAGCACCATTTCCCCTGAGTAGCACAAAGACATGGTTAGTGAGCAATGTTATATACAACCAGTATCTTAGTATTGTACATGAGTTGAATTGCCACATACTTGTAAAAGCCCAAAATTCCATCATGTTGTTTTAATTTCTTCAATGATTTGAGGACGCCAAGAGAACTGAATTCATTTGTCCTAGTCTATAAAGGCAGAATCAGAAAGTAAGCACATGTTAGACATAGTGATATCTCATAATAGCATCAGGGGCAAACTAGATGTTTTAAACAGATCATATGTAGCTAGTCAACACGGTCAAGTGAAGCAGAATTTGTGAAACTTCTGGAAGTGGCATTTCTAACTATCATTGTAATGGCGTCTACAATGCTCCAAAATGCATATTAGAAATCAAAGAAATGTATGATGAGAAAAAAAGTCTGTAGGAGAGTTGTGTGGAGTATGGACTTGATTGAAGCAGAGATTTTTGAAAGCTGAGAATCTCCCTCCAGCCTATATCCCAACCCATCAAAGGATGAATTTATGGCTGCAACCATACTGAGTGGAGTAACGTGTGCTTACTAACCGATCAGGTAATGTTTATGGTAGAATTTAAATAGGTACCTAGTAGAATCTTATTTGTTGAAACTCTTTACAACTATTTTGTGGTATGGTACCCCTTTAATCGTCCTAAAACCATGACATCCATCAATCTACACGTGCAGGCACTACCTTCTTGCACATCTACATTTTCAATTAAGAAGAGACGCATCCCTCTAGTCCCGTTCTTTTATGTTTCACCGGATTATTGCTGCAGTGGTTTTATGATGCGTGAGGTAGCACACTTTTTAGTAAATTTGTCGCAAACAAATAAAAATTGTATTATCTCAGGCTACAAAAAGTTATCGTCCTATTAACAAAGTTACATCGGAGATCCTGAAGCGAACCATTCCTACAGCGGCTCGCAACCGACAATTGCCCAAAATACCTAACTACCGAACTCCAATCCAAGCGACTTCTTTTTGTTCCATGCGCCCAATCCAAGACTATAATATGATGAGCACTACAAGACGAACCTGTAGCAATATCTTGAGGCGCTCGAGCGGCGCGATGGCGGTCTTGGAGAAGGCGCCGGCGACGCCCCCGGCGATCATCTCCTTGGCGAAGACGGGCACCAGGTCGAGCACGCAGAGGTCGACCCCAGCCGCTGCCACGGCCGCCGAGCCCTGCGAGGGGGTGCCCATCCCGCCGTCGCGCTCCTCTCATCCAAATCGAGCACCCACCCGCGCGAAGAATCGCCCCCCCCCCCCCCCCAAGCCACACAAGGGGGGCGGAGGACCCCCTCAAGGATCTCACCGGACGGGGGCGGCCCGTTTAGCCCTCCGGCCTCCGCCGCCGCCGCCGCCGCCGGATTTGACCGCGGCGACGACCTGCGCGGAATGGCTCGCGGTTTCTTGCGCGTATCCCCTTCCCTGCGAAGAATCGAGAAAACAATAGAGGAGAGGGGCGGTGACCGCGGTGGCGACGAGTAATATGCGGGAGAATCTTCGCGGCTTCCCCTCAAATATCATTTGGAGTCGCCAGGAACGCAGGAGCGTTGATGCGACGCAGATTGAAGCGGATGCTGACATCTTCTCGTGTTGCGCGGATGGCTTTAAGTTCAGATATACTAATACGTTCAAGATTTTTTTTCTTGATATTTATCACGTGTGCTTTATGGTTTTACGGTGCTGACTGTTTCAGAATTTTTCTGAAAGAAAATATTTGTCAAAAGTAAAAAAAAGGTACTACTGATTGATTAAGGTACGACTGATAATTCATAGAAATAGCATGGAAGTACATGGGGCTGCCTACGGCTCGGGCGCCCGATGATTTGGAAAAAAATCGGGTGCTAACGTCATGCTGACGTCAGCGTCCGATTTACGTGTAAAGCTACTTTAAACTGATTTTTCTCTTAAATTACTTATCCAAATCATGATCCGATTGCACCATTAAATTCGTTGCAATTAAATCTTCAAAAAAAGACTCCACATGGATATATTCCGACGAAAAAAAATTAGCTTATTATTGAATTATTTTTAAATGTTGCACGATGTTCCACCAGGTATATCGAAATTGTTTCAATAAGTAGATCGAAAATGTTTCACTTGTTTAAATCGGGTGTTGTTTCACCTTATATAAAAACAATGTTTCAGCAAATAGCGAAAGAATATTTTAGATCACTGCAACATTAGATCTATACATAGTAAAACATTGTGAGTACACTAGGTGAAACAATTTTCGGTGGAACAAAAAATAAACCAAATTCCCTTAATAGGGGGTTTCCAATATGTAGGTTTTTTTGTTGCAATGGAATGTTTCGTTCACTGTAATATTAGATCTACACATAGTGAAACATTTTTAGTACACTAGGTGAAACATTTTTTGTGGAACAAAAAATAAACTAAATTTCCTTAATATAGAGTTTCTAAAATATGTGGATTTTTGTTGCAAAAGAGTATTTTAATTTACTGCAATATTATATCTATAAGTAATGAACATTATAAATACATTAGGTGAAACATCTTTTATGGAGAAAAGGGAGGGAGAAGTGGGTGGGCCAACATTACGCACGTGGGGAGAGGGCGCGCGCAGGGGGAGCATTTTCGGAAGTATAGACAAGAATGACAATAATTCTATGGGTAATAATTTTATATATGTATTATTCATGATTTAAAGGTCAAAACTCTAAAATAGATGTAAGAGTCATGGGCATGAGGGTCTGTGCACCTTCTATTTTTCTCAAAGTGAACCGTATTTTCTCCTTGTCATAGAAATCGACATGCAACATGGTCCGCGTAGTGTGGGCTTACGATGAGACTAGACCACGGATCAAGCAGGCTGCCAAGTAGGGTGGATCCACACATAGTCTTCGTGGGATCATTTGAACAAGGTGTGCATGCAGGGTGCATCGTACACCTACGTATCACGTCATTTCATATTAAATATACCTGGCCTATCACAAGTCATTCCACATTAAATGTTTTTGATTAATCAGGCATATCCAACGTGCCCATACCATGCATCATTATCTATCCCCATCTTGTTAGGAGGAAATCAAGCATCCAGACTTACATGGCTCGAGATGCTGACCAAATGAAGACGCCCGGGAGCAATGAGCCCGACGACGTAACGAAAGGTGGAGTAGGAATCTATTAACTTATTAAAGAAATAAAAAAAAGAAGCATCCACGTTCGTTCTCATGGCTTAGAAATTCTCACATCAATCGAAAAAAAGAAAAAATAGAGTCTATGTAGGAATACAATTTAAAAATAGCTCAAATTCGGAATGAAAAATAAGAAATATAGGAAGAGAAGACAAGAGTCCATACCGGTATACAATAGAATTAATGGAAATTTGGAATTTAAAAAAAGAAAAATTAAAAGCAGAGGTTAGAGTCTATATAGAAATACAATTTAGAAATAAAGAAGAAACAACATTTTAAAATAAAGAATATTGGAAGAAGAATATAGAGTCCATATAAAAATACAAATTAGAAATAATAGAAATTAGGAATTAAAAAAGAAATATTGGAAGAAGAGTATAGAGTCCATATAGGAATTTAGAATTAAATAAAATATGGAATAAAAATAAAAGTAGAGTTTAGAGTACATATAGAAATACAATTTACAAATAAATAAATTAGACTTAACAAAAGGAATATTGGGACAATAGTCTATAGTCCATATAGGAATATAATTTAAAAGTAACTGAAATTCGTAATTTAAAAATAAATTATATTGAAAGATGAGTTAGAGTCCAAATAGAAATATAATTAGAAATAATGAAAATTCATAATTTAAAAAATAATAAATATTATAAGAAGAGTCTAGAGTCCATTTAGAAATACAATTTATAAAGAATGGAAATTCGGAACTGAAAAAAAATATTGGAAGAGGAGTCTAGAGTTCATATAGGAGTATAATTTAGAAATAACTGAAATTTTGAATTTAAAATAAGAAAAATAGGAATAAAATTTATAAATAATAGAAAATCATAATTAAAAAATAAAAAATGTTGGAAGAGAGGTCTAGAGTTCATATAGAAATATAATTTAGAAAAAACTAAAATTCGGTATTGAAAAATAATTAATAACTATCACCTATATACAATACATTACGAATACTCCACCCATTCCAAATTGATCTACATGTTTCATAGGTACACCAAAACCAAAAAAAGCTAATAACTCTCTTATAATATATTTACTCTAGCAACAAACTCGATGCATGCACCGTCCCCACTATTTCCTAGCCAATAGCAAATCAAGATATTGCATGTGGGTTATAAATACTTGTGTGCATGGATGCATGCATCAATGTCCATTTACTCCAATGCACAAATATTAACGAATAGACTTAATGAATGAACACAAATATGTAGATCATTTAGGAATAACCTTAAAAAAACTATATGTAGATCAATTTGGAATGGAGGGAGTATTACACATTGATTAGTTTGAGCAAGTTAGTACAAAATCGAAAATTATGTTGTCATTTTAATATATTTTAGTACTCCCTCCATCCATAAAAGTTACACATATTATTTTTGACACCAAGACCAAGGAGAAATTAAATCACCTTGGATGTTACAAAATCAAGGAGTGAATGCAAGCATGCAACCAATGAGTATTTAGATGACTCCTTGGGTTCTAATAAAACATTTAATTTATCTATTTATTTAAGTCTTGAATGCATAAAGACTACAAATAGGAACAACTTATTTGGAAAAACTCAAATGTGAAATAGGTGTAACTTTTGTGGATGCAGGAGTAATAAAATGTGAAAACATATATGCTATCACTTTTGTGGATGCAGGGAGTATATGAGAAAAAAAAAATATAAGGATGCGATCCGCGTAATTTATGCGGGCCACCATGCTAGTTATAGAATATAGAGTAGGGAAAGTGACACATATAACAAGTGGCATTATTCATGTGTACCCTCCCACTTACCATATACTACATATGTATAGGTGTCCATAATGTATGCCATAAGGGGGTCTTAAGCCTTTTGGGTGGGTATTATACACTGTGGAAGTAGTCTCCAATTCCCCATAGGTAATCTTATATATAAAAACCACCCATAAGGAACTAAAAAAAATCATATTTATTCTCTCTCATGCTACTGCCTCCTCTCTCTCCTGCTATTCTCTCTCCCTCCCTGGTTGGTACCACAGCTGGGAGTGCCACCGCCATCACTGCTCCTCCCGTGAGTGTCGCAGCTGCCGCATACCTTCCTGCATTCAGGAGCACCGCCACCATCGCCGAATCATCCCCACGCGTCGCTGTCGTCGTTACTCCTCCCACGCCACCACTGAATCCAGCCGCGAGGACCGCCACCACCGTCGAATCCAACCTCAAGGGCCGTCTCCACCGCCGGATCCGCTCGCGAGGGCCGCTGCTATCATCGAATGCTTTCACGCACGTCGCCATGCTCGGTGTTGGGACCGCCGCCTCTGTCATCGCCGCTCGTCCTACGAGCGCCATCGAGCGCCATCGCTGCTGAGTGAAGGTGTAGAGTACATAGGGGGAGGTTGAAGAGTACTAGATTTTTTTTTTACTTGTGAGACCCACCTTATTTCCTAACATGTGCATTAGTCCATATACATTGCGTGGAGTTAGGTACAACTAATACCACCTGCTATGAGACCCATCTATATAGAGCACTTGGTTACATTGCTTGTGCCCTGAACGATAAGAACAAGTCGAATAGCAAGCTAGCTGCTAGCTCCAAAAATTGACACATCATGCAAACAGCTAGCTGCTAGCTCCAAAAATTGACACATCACGCAAACATAACATATCATTTACAATTTTGTTGTATTTTTGAACTCAATAAACAAGCAATGTTAAATCATTATCTCCATATCGTTTTCACATTATTTAAACATATACATCTATAATTTCTATAATGTATAACATGCATTCATCCATATATTCTGCTGCAAAGCGCGGGGTATCAACTATAGTTTTTATAGTGATCAAGTCCTTTTCCACGCAAAATTTCCAGTCTATGAACAGGGGAGGGTTTGTGGGCGAAAATGATTTTTTTAAATATAAATAATAAGCTGGTGGTTCGGAGGTGGTATATCGGGAATTAAACCCATTATCCATTGAGACGTACTAGTGGGTAAAACTGGGCACACCTTGCGTATTGCAGCAGACAGTTTTAAATACCTTAATAAAATGTTGAAGAAAACAAATTAATTTGCACATCGTGTATCTGTAATGTCTAGAAGAATAATATTTTGCTCTATAGTAGTTGATGTGAAATTACTACTGTGCATGACACAAGACATCCAATTGCTCATGGTGGCACAAATATTGGCCTTGCCCTTAAGCTTTATAGCAATGCTAAGGGTGTGTTTAGTTCACGCTAAAATTAGAAATTTGGTTGAAATTGAAATGATATGACGGAAAAGTTAAAAGTTTGTGTGTGTAGGAAAGTTTTGATGTGATGAAAAAGTTAGAAGTTTGAAGAAAAACTTTGGATCTAAACTCGGCCTAAACTAAATGAGCTGTAAATGTAAATGCATGACGTATGTATGGTTTGTGATAATGTTGTCTCTCTTTCTAAAAAAAGGTATGGTTGTGATTAAAATATGATAGGAATCAAAAGGTTATTATCTACATATTCTATATAGCTAGGAAAAAAAAAAGCTCAACACATATTGAGCTATACATTATATAGAAAATTATAGTCATATGTCATTTGTATTTACAACCTACTGTAGTTATTGCTATAAAATTCACTATGCATTAGGCCACATCATCTAAAAAGGTTAGATACCTCTAATGCATTGAAATAGCCACCCATGTGTTACACACAATTGCAAATCCATGTCAACTGCTATAGAGCTTAAAAAAGTGTCCTTTTTAGGCGTATTGCGAGTGTAAGTTTTTCAAATTATTTTCTTGGAGGTTAAGTATTTCTAAATTATCTAATACAATGACAAATGCGATATCCGTTAGTTTTCTATATGGTATGATTGTTTCGAACAATATATTAGATGACAGTGAAAGTGAAAAATGCAATAAAATGAGTGGGTATGATCAGTCCTACTTACCAATGTTGTACAATGACTGCTAGCTCTAACGAACAGGCCCATGTCCTCACGACGGGGTTCTATATTTTTCAATGCAACATTGTATTAGATATGATCAGTGGCAGAGCTAGAAAATTTCAAAGACTATGATTAAAGTATGACGCAACTAATGGTGTATTGGTTTTCTACAAAATTTACATGGTGATTTAACACAATTTAAATAATATTTTGGAGGCAGGCTCAGGGCTAAACTCTAGCTGCCCTAAGCCTACCTCCCCACCCATATGGCAAAACAACTCATGGTACAACTTTAACTGAATATTTCACGAAGCTATAGCTATAGCAAATATTTTTATCACTATAACGTTTTTCTCTATTTGACATATGAGCGTAATTTATAAAAGTGTAAATATTACATGTATACTTGACAGGCGGACCTGGCTTATCAGAATAACGTTTACGGTACTCTTATAAAATTATCAGCTATTGTTGCATTTTATGAAAAATCACACACAAAGGTATAGTAAAGAGATAATCTTGTGACATAATAGTTGCAGGTTTGTACTGTTTGTAATATGTAAATTGGTAGTTGATAAAAAAATAATTAGCTGATTGACAGATTTACCACGGTAACCATTTCTCACATATACGAAACGTATCGTAAGTCGTAACTCTACTGACAAGTGACATGCGAGACGAGCCGGCGCGGTGGATCGACCATCCCCGCACCATTCCACGGCCACGCGCGACCTCCAGAATCGCGCCAAACCGCCCGGTGCATGCACGCTGTGTCTCCAAGATGTGTCGCCTTCTTCCTATACACACGGGCGCGCATACGCAACCAAGTGTACTACTAGTAGTACGGTCGTACGCCCAGTCCCCCCGCGATCGCCGTGCCGTTTGGCGCGCGCGCGCCCACCGGACGGTTTATCGTGATCGCGGGCATCCATCAATGCCTCCCGTCACGTACGCCCCCCACAAACGCACACACGATCTTTGACGTGGCGTCCGCGCACCAACACACGCGCCAAGTCGCCCAGTTTTAACACACGTCTCCGCTCGGTGGATCGGTCCATGGAGCTGCCTCCCAGTGCCAAGTGCTACTTTGGTTTGGTTTGGTTCCAAATTGTGTCCTACCAATTCTTTGGCAATTTTCAATAGTGTTTGTAGTTGTTTGGATTGGTGCCAAATTTTAACAAAACATCTCTTTAGATAAAAAATTTTTGGCCATCTAAATTTGGTAGTGCCAAAAGTTACCCAAACTTTGACACTATCAAAATTTTAGTATGGCACCAAACCAAACTAGCCCCAAGTGCCGACGTGCACCCCGGCCTCAATCATCATCACACATCATCTCGTATACTCTACCAGAACACAACAGGAAGCAAGAAAACAAGATGTGGCCTTGTTTGGATCCGGAGGGCTATCCCTTCGGAATCTTGATATTTAAAAGTATTAAACGTAGATTATTGATAAAATCCATTTCATAACTCCTAGCCTATTTTGCGAGACGAATCTAACGAGGTATATTAATCAATGATTTGCTACATTAATGCTACAGTAATCAGCCGCTAATTATGGATTAATATACATCGTTAGATTCGTCTCGCAAAATAGACTAGGGGTTATGGAATCGGTTTTATCGGTAATCTACGTTTAGGGCCTGTTTGTTACAACTCCAACTCCTAAATATAACTCCAGGAGTTGAGTCTAGATTGAAGTTGTGGAGCTGCCTAAACCCAGCTCCACAACTCTAGTATATTTTGTGAGAGAGCTCCACCCAACTCCACTCCCAAATTTGGTGGAGCTGAAACTGTTTGGCTGAGCTCCAGCTTCAGGAGGGGTGGAGTTGGAGCTAGAGCTGTGCCAAACAGGCCATTAATAGTCTTAAGGCCCTCTTTGTTTAGGCTTATAAGCCAACTTATAAGTCCAAAAGTCTAAGGCAAAACAAACAAGCAGTTTTTTATTTGGCTTTTTTGAAGTCATAAGCCACTCTAACACTATTAAGCCAAAAGCTAGGTTGGAGAAGCTTTTTTGGCTTATATGAGATAGATGTATGACTCCACCATTAAACTTAGGACATTAAATTCACTGGCTTATAAATCATATAAGCCAATAAGCTAACTTAAAAGTCTAGGCCAATAAGACTAAGCCTAAACAAAGAGGGCCTAAATAGCAAGGTTCCGAAGGGTTATTTAATAGTCCGGAGTTAAAAAATCCCGAGCCGGGCTCTGCAAAGGAGCCAAAACTCTCCGGATCCCGACATGCGCTCGAGCCCACATGTCAGCGTCCGCGTGGCCCGGCTTCCGATGAGGGCCAGAGCCTTCTTTCTCGAAGCCCGACGTCTGCAAAAGGGGACAGCGCGTGACGGCGTGAGGCCGCGAATGCCGGCCGCGCCTTTTCCCCCAACCACCACCGGTTTGCCCATCCCCGGACCCACCCGCCAGTCACAGGGAGGGCCCCATCTTTCAGCTTGGCTCGTCCCCATTTCAAAATTTGAACCACCACCACCGCCGCCGTGGCCCGAACGGCTCTTCCTCCCCCCCCGCCCGCCTCGTGACTCGAAACCGAAGCGAGCGCCGCGCGCAACGGCCCAAGCCAAGCACACGTCAACAAGTCTCGCGTTTCCCGATCTCTCTCACTCTCCACCCACACCTCCACTCCACTCCACGCCATTTTTTCGCTCGCTCGCTCGCCTCGTGCCCACGTTCGCCGAGGGGAGTAGCGTTAGCGTAGCGTGCTCTTCGGGGGCGGGTTGGTTCGCGATGGGGGCGTCGGGGAAGTGGATCAGGACGCTGGTGGGGCTGAGGCCGGCGGCGGAGAGGGAGAAGGAGAGGGGCGGCGGCGGGGGGAAGGGGAGGAAGTGGAGCAGACTGTGGAGGAGCTCGTCGTCGCAGAGGGGCGGCGGGAACGCGTCGGCGTCGGAGGTGTACTCCGAGACGTCGTCCTCCGCCGACGCGCTCAGCTCCGTCGTCGCGGCCGTCGTCCGCGCGCCGCCCAGGGACTTCCGGCTCATCAGGCAGGAGTGGGCCGCCGTCCGCATCCAGACCGCCTTCCGCGCCTTCCTGGTGGACCACTCGCCACCGCTCGCCCTTGCAAATCTCGGTAAAAGGTTGCGAAATTTTCTTTTTTGATCGTTTCTTGTGGGATGCTTGTGCTGTGCAGGCGAGGCGGGCGCTGAGGGCGCTGCGAGGGATCGTGCGGCTGCAGGCGCTGGTGCGCGGCCGCCGCGTGCGCAAGCAGCTGGCCGTCACGCTCAAGTGCATGCAGGCGCTCGTCCGGGTGCAGGCTCGCGCGCGGGATCGGCGAGCCAGGATCTCGGCCGACGGCCTCGACTCTCAGGACATGCTCGACGAGCGCGGCGGACGCGTCGATCATGTCAAGGAAGCCGAGGTACACATGCTGGTACACGATAGTAGCAGTTTGATAAGCGAATTTTGCGTTGCAGGATTGCGCTGTATTCATGCATGTTGAATTGAGTTACTCTGTGATTTGCATCACACGCGCATCTTGCCTCTTGAAGTGTAGGAGATGAAGAATCACACACTCAACAATGCAATTCTTGATCGAGACTTGGGAGAAGTGAAATTAGGATATATCACACGGTTTATACCGGATAGATTTTACTTCGATAGGGACCTGCGGAGTAGGACATGCTGAAGGATTTTATGACATTTAACTACTTTTATTTGAAGCAATGATTTCACTTTTTATTTGCAACTATTGTTTTGATGAATCATGGCATTAACATTGTTTGGTATGCCTTCCTAGGCCTAGGAGGACGCTACTAATAATTCATCTTTGCAACTTGTTCTTATTTAGTCAACATGCTTAGTTTTATCCTGTAAGAGTGTGGTAGGACGTAGTCTAATTGTCGGCAGAGTTTTTTTTAAGCATTTGGGGTTGAAAACTTTAACTCCTTTCTGCAAAACGAAATATAATACTATGTGATGGTGATGTTTGCATGTTTGGATGGCTATTGTTCTCATTGCAGGCAGGATGGTGTGATAGTCAAGGCACTGCGGATGACGTGAGATCGAAGATACACATGAGGCATGAGGGTGCAATCAAGAGAGAAAGGGCACGTACTTATGCTCAATCCCACCAGGTACATAATGCAGGCTTGCAGCACACTAATCTTTGTATAGAACATCTGAACCTTTTCTCTTCTGAAAGACCGTAACACTTGTGTTTAGCAGAGGTGTTCAAACCACGGTGGAAGACCCAGCTCCCCTGCTGTATCTCTCAAGCACCATGGGAATGGTGCTACTAGGAGCAACCATAGTTGGAGCTATCTGGAAGGGTGGATGGCCACAAAACCTTGGGAGAGCCGACTGATGGAGCAAACCCACACCGAAAACTCCACCAATTCGCGGTGTTCAGAGAGCGTCGAGGAAGTAAGCGTTGGCGGCCCGAAGCTTTCTGATGCAAGCTCGGTCAAGATCAGAAGGAACAATGTTACAACAAGGGTGGCAGCAAAGCCTCCCTCCATGATCTCGGCTACCTCTTCTGATTTCGTGTGCGATGAGAGCTCCCCATCTACATCTTCTGTGACTCCACTGTCAGCCAACAATTCCCTGGCAACAGAGAGAAGATCTGATTGTGGTCAGGTTGGTGGACCGAGCTACATGAGCCTGACCAAATCAGCCAAGGCAAGGCTGAGTGGCTATGGCTCTCACAAGCCACCTCTTCAAAGGCAAAGGTCCGGTGATCTCCTCCATCACAACAACAGGATGGCATTCTCTTCCATAGATGTTCAGAGCACTGCTGGCTCGGAGGTCTCAGTAACTTCAAAGAGGTTAAACAGTTTGGCTCTTAAAGGTCGAGCCACAAGAAGTTTAGACAAGGAGAATGAGAGACGGCCTAGTTCCTTGCTTTAGGATACGCACCCTAATTGGTCCCTCAAGATATTTTAGCGGAGTCTTTAGATGTTTTACCTGTACGTATCTGCTGGTTTCAATGTCTCATTGCTTATTTTGCTCTCTATATTTATGGTGTACAAATGTGAAACTCCACAAATGTTGAACTGTTATGTCGATCTGCTGCATTGTAAAATCTTGGGCTTGCAAACTTCTGAAGCATTATGCATGATGCTGCATTGTTGGATGTCGAGTTGGTATCGTCAAAACTGTAGATGGGTTACTTTTATAGTGTAGATGTGCTACTTTTAATTATGAAGTGCCTGGAATCGGATCTTCCAAGATTACTTAGTCATCAGAGATCGATCATATCAACAGTTAATACTCCCTCTATTTCAAAATATTTGATACCGTTGACTTATTAGCATATATTTGACCGTTCGTCTTATTCAAAAAAAATTATGAAATATGTAAAACTATATGTGTACATGAAAGTATATTTAACAATGAATCAAATGATATGAAAAGAATAAATAATTACTTAAATTTTTTTAATAAAACGAATGGTCAAACACGTAATAAAAAATCAACGGTGTCAAACATTTTAAAACGGAGCATTTTGAAACGGAGGGGGTGCTTAAATACGACTTGTACTTCTAGACACACTATTAGAGGATCTCAATCCCAGCTTTCCTAGTAGATACTTAGGGCCTGTTTGGGAGAGCTTTAGATTCTGAGAAGCAGCTGTTTGTTAGCCAGCTTCTGAGAATCTGGAAAAACTCTGAAACCCAGTTTCTCCAGCTTCTTAGTTTATTTTTTAGAATCTGTAACTACAGATTCTCAGTACAGATTCTCAGAAGCTGTGGACTCTTTGGGGCAACTTCTAGCAGAAGTTTCCTATGGTCAAGCTCCCCCAAACAGGTCCTTAATTTCCTATGGTCATAACAAACATTCCTCATCGGCGTTCTACCGTTATATGCAGTTGTGCACGAACTGGTTGCTGTTATTTCGCCCCAAAACATACTCAGCAAATGTACGCCCTGGCAGCCTGGCTGTTATCCAGCATACTTTGTACAGCATCTCAACGATATGGGAGAATGGTTAGACATATCATAACAGAAAAAGGAAATCTTAAGAATTCTTGAATATTCATTATATACGAGGTAAATCCAAGCAAATGTTTTACAGTTCCAAACAAAACGATTTCTCCTTCGCTTCTATTCGCAACTACTGGTACACAAATCATGTGGAGTCAGCCACAAAAAAACATTTCAACAGTATCTTCACCAATTGATCAGAAAGAAGTGTGAACATATGATAAAATTTAGCCAAATCTAGCTTCTCGCTGTAAAACCTGAAAAAAAAGGGCATTTAACATAAAGGTTACCGTATTGTACCAAGAGTTAGCAACCATCAAGGACATTGTATTAAATACTCCTTGCATTACTAAATACTTTTAGTAGATTTTTCATTTAAGGTATTTCCATGAAAAAAGTTACGAAACTTGCTACTCCCATTTAGTTCACCTATGTCTGATGCATCTGAAGCTCCCGCCTGATAGGTCTAGTATTAACTGACAATGTTCACTTAACATACAGCAGTGGAATATAAGAAAATACTACATTTTGCTACAACATTGATATGCAAATACAAAAGGATGAGTATTGTACACATTTTTATCTATGTACCACATCTGGCAGTATTGATTAGTGGGAAAAAAAGTAGCAGTGTAGAAGGTAACGAAACTTTGTAGAAGGATGAGTATTGTACGGACGAGTATTTGGTTAAGTCTAATAAGTATTGTTCAGTAACAGTCAACTGTGCCTATTATATTAAATAGTTCTAAAGAAAGAAAAACAAATACAAGCATCTCCTACCTCTTCAGCAAATTTTATCAAGATTGTTGTCCTTGGCCTTTGTTGGCCCTCAATTGGCACAAAGTGTGCAGTAACTACCGCAGGAAAGCCAGCATTTTCCAGTACACCCTACAAACATTTTTAAAGCCATGTTAGAATATTAATCTCAGAATATATCATACATGAATAGATATTTGGGCTAAAATCCTCACCCTTACGATTCCTGCAACAAAAGCTCCACAATTGAATGCTCCCATGTCCTTGGGCACCGAAATGAACCTGTTCAAACAAGAATAGTATCAAGGCCTACTTGTACCAAAAGAAATACAATATGAAGTTTGACAAACCGGTTAACAAGAAGCTCCTTTTCACTAATCATGTATTCATCCTCATGTTCTGTTCCTTTCTCAAGTGAGTCAGCCACCTGAAAACAAAACAAGAAAAAGCAACTATCAGGATCAGCATATAAACAAGAGCACTTAAGTTAGTGATCAGACTAATAACACAGGTGATTTATTATAACTACAAACATCTACAAAAATTCATCCATATGTAACTGCAGGAAACTGGTTTAAAAGCTGATATCAAAATAGATTATTGAACACGTATGCTGAATTAGCCTGTGAGAAATGGAACCAGCATTATCTATTTATTATTAAGTGCAAAGCAAAGCTGTGTTAGCATGCAAAAGAGTTGCAAGTACACAACTTATAAAACATTTAAGGACATGCACATATAAAATTATACAGAAACTACAATTATTTCAGTCTACAAGAATCAACTGACCAATAGTAATAAAGCTCGAGACACACAGATTATGGTTACATTGAGTAAGAACCAGAACTGACTGATAGGTAGAACACAGTACCTTCCCAAACAAAACTTTCCATACAGTGCTGTGAATGAACGATAATATACCTAGCAGTCGAGTCTCTCGCCTATTCCCCTGAATTAAATATTTTTTATATAAAGCAAGAGGTTATACGGATATACTTCACAATGCACTGTATTTCAGACCATGTCAATTATACAAAAAGAAGGTAAAAAGAATCATGCATCAAACCTTCTCTCTGTGACAGAGTAGTTCAAGAACTCTTGCACCAACAGCATAACCAGCATCTTCCAGCCTGTGCGTAAAACAATAGAAAGAGATCCTAAGACCGATGTAGGCATGACAGAATACACATGAAAAAGATTCAGCAAAGGAATTTCATTCCGCAAAGAAGGGTAAGTTCAGTGCTGTCTTTCAGGATGATACAGATTTAAATTGTAATTTTGATTTATATGGGATATATTTAACCCTTTTTTTATGGCAAACCAGCTGTTTTAGTTAAGTGAGGTTAGACATCTCAATGTCTTGAGAAGAGTTGTAAAACCTTTACACTATATATGTGAAATTCTGAAATCGAGATGTTAGCACACAGTAAGTACCAAAACCTGAGAATTATCTTTCATGGATACAATTGTAATGTGTAGTCATGTACTAACCATGAAGTTTGTACCAGGTACAAATTGAGACAAAAGGAGAAAACTACATGATAGAACATAAACAAACCAATTGCATATTTTTGTCTATACAATAAACTTTGATGTTCATTGTTTTGAAAAGAAATGATATCTCACAATATAAACTACTACCTTCTTTCCAGCTCAGCAATGTTATCAACCTGTGTCTGGTTGTATTGAACCAACTCTGAGAACAGGAACGCAAATGCACTCAAACTGACCTATCAAATACACAAAACATTCATTAAGCAAATACAACACCTAAACAGGTAAGGAACTAAAATTATTTGCCAGAACCTGTAAAACACACAAACTGCATACCTAGAAATGGACCAATCACATCAAGAAAGCATAACATAGTATTTTCTTTTTACTATTTATGCAATCTTTACCAATGAGTAAATTTGTCAAGAAAAGTAGATTGTTTATAAGGAAACAATAAAATGGCAATTGATAAAAAGAATTGCAACACTAGAGGAATAATGAAAAGAAATATTACGAAATCACATCTTTTGATCTTTTCTGAAATTATATGGTTCAAATTAGGCATCTTAAGTGGGCACATTTATCAGCGTCTAGGCCCAACTATTTGAGGCTGGTGTATGTATCAGAATAAATTTGACCTTCCATGATGCTAAAACCAGTCAGTACTTACTATCGTTTATTATTTCTTTCTGCATCCTCCACTAGACACAAGCAATGCATCAGACTACTGTGAGTATAATGGGTAGGGCAGCAGGCTTCTCATTCATGCCAAAATCACTTTTCGTTTTCAGTTCCTGCAGTACCAATTCATCACCAAGAGTGCCTATTGGGCAGGTTTTGGCACCATGCTGATGTAATAAACAGATGGTATTACCTGCATCTATGCAATAGAATGGCATGCTCGCAATTTTGGTGATGCAATTGTGTCATGGCCATAGGCTATGCAGCAGCACTGGTATGGAAAATTCAGTGGAGTCAGATTATCTCTTATGCCTTAAGTCAATTATGATTTGATTTGTTTAAGTTGATAGCTTGTACTGTCTCCTATAGTCCTATCATGGCATCATAGCTTGTGTTAGCTGGGAAATTTCCTTAACAGAACATGTTAGGGGCAGCGCTATAAAGATCTACGAACCTATTACTTCAATTATGGGGCAAAATTTTAACCAAGTTTCCTTCCTCATATATCAACTCCTCCCTGCTGCAAGGTAGAAGCCTATCTGCTATCTCCCTGCTGTTCCTATTCAATCTACTGAATGTTCTTCATCTCCTGCCCCAGCTACCCTTCCTCCAAAGCTGCAACTGACAAACTACTCTTGGTATTAGGTTCGGAGACAGAAATAGCCAAATTTTATTCTGATGCTTTCCATTCCATTTATTCTTATTTGATCCACCCTTATGTGCAACCCCTTTAGGATTCAAGAATGTTTTGTAAACTGAATTCAAGATCGTTATTCTTACTGCACAACATTCCAACCTGAATTTTGCAAAGCAGAAATTCAATCTTTACCACCCTTTCGCAATATATAAAACTAGTATGTGCAACAGAAAAAGAATTGACTAAAAAGTAACTGATAACAAAAGCGTAGGTTTTGGTTTCAAAAGAAATTTCAGGAAAACTGCATAAATTTAACTGTTGCAAGTCTCATTTGCATATCGTATCAAGGTAGCCTCCATGCGATATGCGATAGGCTATGGTCTAAAGTTCTATTAAAACCTGAGCTAAAATTAAGCATGACAATGACAGCTTAGTTTTTCCAATCAAAGGCATATGCTCTACACAATGATATCTTACATTAGCGATCCTCTCGAATAATAATTACCAGTCCATATGAGCCAATAACTGAGACGACCAGGAGCTGACAAACATTTCACTGAACAACTCTCGCGCAGGCGCAGCTACCACTATAACCCGCAAACTTTGGCTAAACCTACTCCCTTCCTAACACCCATAGCGAGATCTAAACCTCTAGCACGGATCGGGGCCCGTGCGTGCACAGATCTGAGAGAGGCTGGAGGTGTGTGTGGGGAGGGAAGGCGAGCCAGTGAGTACCTCCTGCCTGCCGCGGCTGAGGGGCTTGTCGAGCACGTTGGCGTACTGCTTCGCCTTCCCGACGCCGATCATCTTGCCCACCCTCCTCCGGAGCGGTGGCCGCCGGCCGCGGTCGAGGCGGCGAGAGGCGGAGCGGGTGGCGTGAATTGGGCTGTGGCCGGGCGGAGCGGAGTAGTCGAGCTCTTCTCCTTTTTTTTTTTCCCTTTAGAAAGAGAAGAGAGGCGTCGAGTTGGGCTCGTGTTGGTGCTGGGCTGCTGGCCTCTTAGGCCTTTCGCCATGGGCCTTCATGGTGACATCTGATACAGGTTTTTACACCTGCAATTTTTGTTTGGTACTGATAAAGTCGTAACGAAAATGTTTAAAAAAGAGATGGATTTCCTTGCAAATGTTCTTCAAGTAATAAAGCATAAAAATCAGTAGAATGGAAAAATATCAAAATAGTGGCAAAATTTCGTCACTTCTTGCTGCTAAATATTGGTTGGAGTAGTAAATATTAAAATTCACATATTTTGAGTAGGACAGAACTACTCCCTCCATCCAAAAATGAAAATCGACTTCTAGCTATGATTTTTTTTTCCTGAAACGGAGTTGCAAATATCTAATTTTGAGGTGCCCATGATTTTGCTGCCAAAGGTTGACACCTGTCTCACGGATCCACTACAGGATCATCAGAGCGGAGACACTGGAGAAACAAATACTCCCTCGGTCCTATAATATAAGGGATTTTGAGTTTTTCTTGCAACGTTTGACCGCTCGTCTTATTTAAAATTTTTTGAAATTATTATTTATTTTATTTGTGACTTACTTTATTATCTACAGTACTTTAAGCACAACTTTTTATTTTTTATATTTGTAAAAAAATTTAAATAAGACGAGTGGTCAAAAATTATAAGAAAAAACTTAAAATCTCTTATATTGTGGGACGGAGGGAGTAGCATCTTCCATCTGGTCTCAGATCCTACCAGCATTCGATTTGGAAGATGTGTGCGCCATGTGTCACGTAACATCTCCGGCCTACAGGTATTCGATTTTAGATCCTACCATCCCTATTGACTAAACTATCTACGCGCTAATCAATCATCCCTATACACTAAACAAACACACTAGAATGACTAATTGTCCCCCCCCCCCCCCCCTCCCTAAGGCTAAAAAGAAAGCACTGATGGTGCCCCTAACTGCCTGCAACCCTCTAATCCATCGCAGATAAAAAGTACATAGTCTGTTGGGGGCATGCCGGCTCGTGCTTTCGCGCTCTGCTCGCCGGAAGGAGCATTGCAGCATCGCTCGGACATTCTCCGGCTAAACAAATCGCTCCGACAAAGAAGATGATGTATCTGTCGGAGCAGTTTTCTATCGGAACATATCGTTTTGACGTTTTGGACATCGACACGATAATGTACAATATCATCGTCACCGCTCAAGTTAACCGTACTTATCAACGTTGGCGGCTGCCGGCGTGCTCCTGAACGGAAACTGTGCACAGGATGAACAGTGCATCACGCTGATGCTCTTCCGGACCATCGTTTCGCTTATTCACGAAACAAGCGAAACGGCATATTTGCAAACGAATAGTAATTTGTGAATAAAATTTTTATATACGTGTTCTTAGCGATTTAAAAGTAAGGTTGAAAATAAACTTCGATGAAAAAACCTCAAAATGAGCTTCAAATTTAAGGTTGAAAATTTAAATTTTGGCTAATAAGTATAAGCATAATCGAATATGAGGGCCGTCAATATGGATGTTCTATTGTTCTTTGATCCAAGCCGTTCGTTACCTTGATCCTACGGTTGAGCAGCAAGGAGAAGAGAGTAGCTGTGGCCGTCATCTCATCAGCTTCCTGGCAATTGGCAAAGTTCTACTACGTGAGCTTCGATTGGAACGGGCACCGAGCCGCGTGCTGCATGCTGATTGATCCGAGTCTTTTCTCTTGGGTGTAGCTATATTTATGGCGCCATATTTTTTATCAAAAAATAGTCGGTATATATTTACATTGTAAGTTTCTAAATTACATATATAGTTTTAGTGTATTTACAATATAAGTCTCAAAATTACATATGTAAGTTCTAAAATTACATATGTAAATTCAAAAATTACACACTAATTATATATGTAAGTGGAGTGTAAATGAGGTGTAACTACTGTGTAAGTAGCTGAAAAAAATCGACTGTAGGATATTTCGCCATAATTATAGCCAATCCGTTTCTCTTTCTGTTCAGGCTGTTTGACTCAGAACAATATAAGGGGGGCAGGTGCTCGTGAGCGGCTGAGAGCTGTTGCTAGGGTCAACGCAGAACGTGATGGTGTAAGATGATGAAAGGTTGACGAGAAGTTCAGAATTACTGCCAGCTCCAAGTTTACCGCGTATGATCTCACGTAGTAGCAGTTGGAGATAATCGCTTTCACGGCATCATCAATGATCTCCTGGAAGATAATCTGAATGTACTGAATATACAGTGTTAGGCTGGTTGTTAGGTGTTCTTGTTGCCGTCCTGATTCTATACACGGAAAACATTCTGGATTCCCTTTGAACACGGTTAGAGAGCTATAGCATACATAACTCACCAATTATAGAACCAACAATTACATAACAACATGATGACACTGCATTGTTTTGATATATGGTAGACCATATCATATAACTTTTTTTTTTGCGGGGCATATCATATAACTTTGTACTCCACTGAAGAATAGAACACCAATATGATCTACTATCTAGTACAGTATCTGCAGTACTACTGTCTACTACTACCAAGGCAAAAGGAGTTCATCAGGAGATGGTGCAAATGGTAAGGGCCAAACTGCAAGAAAAAGCTGGCTGCCATGCCAATGCCATGGGGACCTCCTGGTGCAATTTGGTCCATTTGACCCTCCAAATTAATCAGGGGATTAAAAAAAAAAAGAGGGGCAATCGCATCAGAAACCTTAATGCCGCCTTCGTTTGAAACTCTCAAAGATCGCAACTTTCCGAGAGAAGATAACACAGCGCACAGAAAAGAGAAGCTGCCAAACCCGGCCACCTCCTCCTCTCCTCTCCTCCCCCATCGCCTTCCCCAATCCGTCGGCGAGGCCAAGGCAGGCAGGAAGCCATGGGCGACAACAGCGCCGCCGCGGCGGCCGTGGCCGCGCCGCGCGGCAGGTTCGGCAGGATCTGCGTCTTCTGCGGCAGCAACGCCGGCAACCGCGCGGTGTTCGGCGACGCGGCGCTCCAGCTCGGGCAGGAGCTGGTAATGCTGTGCCCCGCGCGCCGCCCGGATTGGGTTGCCGCCCTCCGGGTTTTTCGGGTTTTTTTGATTATTTCGCTATGGAGTTCATGGTTTGATTTCTGTTGTGGGGGTTGTTTGATTCTTGCGCAGGTGTCGAGAGGGATCGAGTTGGTCTACGGTGGCGGCAGCGTCGGGTTGATGGGCTTGATCGCGCAGACGGTTCTTGATGGCGGCTGCGGTGTTCTCGGGTTGGAAATTTCGGCCCATGCCCTGTTCATCTTCACCAATGGCACAGTGTGGATTAATCTATAATAAAAACTTGTGGCTGTTCTTCTTGATTCTTTTGCAGGGTGATTCCAAAAGCACTCATGCCCACCGAGGTATGCAATTCTTTTTTGTCTTCTCTTCTTCTTTGTGCATTGTTCAGAAGTATTTATTGCCGACTTTCCACTATGCCTTCTAATCTAGCAGCACCTAATTGGCTAATTGGTTATTAGGCACAAGGGTCTATCACGTACTCGTATAGAATGTAAAATGACTGAAAATCTCCCCGTTTAAACAAATTAAGGAGTGATAGCATCTTAGAACGCTTGCTGTCAGATGGGTCATCTCAATCCATGCCATCGATGTATCAAGGTTTTCATGAGCATTGCATCAGCTATACAGCTCTTATATCAGTGGCCACTAGAATCAACACGACTGTTAGTCCAGCTTGATTCACCTTTGCCTATCAGCTTAGAGATAAGTGGTCATTAAGGAAATAAGGAGACAAGGAATTCGGACTAGAATTTAGGTGGTATAATTGCAGAATTTAGGTGGTGTAATTGCAGCCTAACAGTTTAGACTTTTGGGCAGTACAACTTGGCATTTTTAAACTTTGCCACTCGGTGGATGTGATATAATAGAATCTGTAACTTGCCAATAGGACAGCACAAGTTGTGAGAAAAAAGTAACAAGCAGTAGGTAATTCAAATAATGTAATCGCTCTGGTAGGCAGGTGACGATAGGCATTGGAATGATTGCAAATCTTAGTTCAGAAACTGAACATATGTAGTCATGGTCATATGGATAGGGTAAACGTAAACAAAACGATGCTCTCTCGACCTTTATCAAGGTGAAGTTATATCTCCAGAATTTTCTGACGACATGTACTGTAACTGTTTGCCCATGTTTGAAGAATAGTGACAAGTCACAAAAGATTAAGAGTAGTCTCAAAAACTTATCCTTGAAACTACGAGATTACGGCCTACTTATGTTACCATTTGACACACCAAAACTCTAATGTAGATATCAGGTGCAAGTGTTGGAGAAGTGAAAATTGTGTCTGACATGCATGAGAGGAAAGCTGAGATGGCACGCCAATCCGATGCCTTCATCGCTCTTCCTGGTATTACACTCAGTTCTACATGTTTTCTTGATACTATTTGAACGGGCTAATATTTCAAACCACCATGCTTAATTACTGACAACTTTTTTGTGGACAATAGGAGGGTATGGAACAATGGAGGAGTTGTTAGAGATGATAACTTGGTCACAACTTGGAATTCATGACAAACCAGTGAGTTTAAGTACATAGGCTGGCTATGACAATTGACAAACAAGTTTTCCTACAAATAATCAAAGGAACTGATCATTGACTTACAACAGGTTGGGTTGCTGAATGTGGACGGTTACTATGATCCGTTGCTTGCGCTATTTGATAAGGGTGCGGCAGAAGGATTTATTAAGGCCGATTGCAGACAAATAATTGTTTCGGCACCGACTGCGCATGAGCTGCTGAGAAAGATGGAGGTAAACTGACCTCATTTATCTGTGGTTAATACCTTGTCTTTTAGTTTAAAAATACCTAACTTGATCGACTTAACATTGTTTATTGTATTGACGATATTTTGTCTTCGTCATGTTCAGCAATACACTCGTTCACACCAGGAGGTAGCGCCACGTACAAGCTGGGAGATGTCAGAGCTTGGTTATGGAAAGACACCAGAGGAATCGTAGCATAATCTGCTAATGTGACATTGTTCCTGAAGGAGAATTGCAGCTGCTCCTTTTATCTCCCATTTTGGTTACCTTATCGTGTTACCTGTCCAGTCAACTTCATCCGGTGAAGAAGATGCATAAGAAAATATGTACCTACCCTCGGTTTTCCTGTGGGGGAATGAACGCATGGTTATAGTCCGTATAATATTTCCTGCCTTACATAAATTAAGAGGCATTTGAGCAACAGAATCCGTGTGTTTTCTCCTTGCAAATTCTATGCAAAATTCGATTGGGTCTTGTAAATCTGCAGATGTAATGCAAGGGAACACTTCTTATATGCATAGGCTTATCAAATGAAATATTTCAGTTCATCTGCACGACTTGCATGAAGCCTTTGCATTCAGTTGCAGTAAAACAAAACAAGTTGCATTTTCCTAGCAAAAAATAGGTAAATAAATTGCCCTACCCCCAACCCCAACAATCCCATCCCGCTGTGTTTGGTTGGCCATCTTTTGAGAGTGACCATGTTTTTGAGGCTTGAGGGTACAAGATGCATATAAATAATGACTTGATAACCACCCGCTACAGGTGAGATGAACCTAGCCAACATTGTGCAGTGTACATATGAATCTTGACAAAACATGGCTGTAATCTGTAGACTGTAGAGTGGAATTGATGCTAGGGAACTGACGTGGCACGAATACATAGTCCCATGAGCTCTTTCCCAACAAAGAGAGAGACCGCCGATGGTTACATTTTACCTGCTTTACATGGACGGCTGCAATGCTGTATTGGCTGTACAGAAGAAAATATACCATTTTGGTTCGTCCTTACCTGATTAAGGTATAAATTCTCTTGATTTTCATTCTCATGCTTTTCAAACTGCTAAACGTATACTATTTCATATGAAAACTTTTTATATAAAAATTTCAGATAAATCCATTTTTCGAGTTTATAGTAATTAAAAATTAATTAATTATATGCTAATAACTTTTTTTCATCTTTATCTTTATCAGAGTGTTGTCTTTCCCTTCAAAACTGAACAGATTCATGGCTCAGTTGCCACTGTTTTAGTGCAAGCTACTTACATCAGTTATACCAGATAGGGAAGCAGCATGAAAATTTGGGTGGTTCCTATCTTTGGATTTTAATGGCGACAAACAGCGTCTCATCCCAATGATACACTACATCCAGAATATTTCAAAAGAACATTAGTCAGAAGTATCTTCAGGTCAATCAATGATCTGATGAAACATTCTACATTTTCGAGTTCACCAGTTTCCAAATACAAGTTTGACCAGTTGCACTTGGGCACTTGGCTATACCGAGACATAGTATCTGGACATGGTACTGGAAGGAATAGAAATGGGGATACAGCTGACCAATGAACTAGAGAGGCCCCAGCAAACGAATAATAAAGACATTTACAGAACCGTCACATTAATTATAAGAGCTAAATTTCAGGCACCTCAGGCTGACCGCTTATTTACCGTGTCCAGAGGACCATCATCTGGCAAAAGCACTTCACATCCTCCTAACATATCCTGTGATACAAAACTCAACAGGAGATGCTGTGCTCATCTACAGATTATGATTTTTACAGAGCACATGTAGATGTTCCTTCATTGCTAGTACTGAACCCTCTCATCCCCGTCAAAATTAAGACCTTCAATACCTTTGAGGGCAGACTCGTAATTCTTAACGTTAGATGAGTGTCGGGCAGAAGATGAATGCTTTGGTTCTGCCGAATTGACTGGTGAGCTTTTCTGGGGACCAGAGGTTCTCCGAAATGCCCCAGGGCTTGCATCAGTGGCACGAGTTCGAGATGGTTCAGAAGTATCAATAGGCATCACATCTCGGCTACTTGAAACAGCAGGCCTCCTTGAAGATCCACTAGATCGTCCCAAAAAATTCGAGGCAGATATCTAAATAGTAAAACAGCCAATAAGTAACAAACTGGAAGTAAAATTAATGATTTTCAATCGTTAGACTAAAGAATTCCAGCTAATGCTTTGAATCAATACAGAAAATAGCAACAGCCAGAGCTATAATGTCAATTGTTGAAGAGACACAACAAAGTTTATTAGGCTACAGAAAAACCACCCATAAAAAAAGGAGGGCAGCAGTGGTGTATGAACAGAAAAATACTGACTAGCATCTATCGAATTATTTTGCAATCACCTTGCCAATTCTTATGATCCACACAAAGAAAAATATGAACAAAACTCACTAACTCACCACGGGCTCTTTAGAAAAAGAAGCATCATTTCCCACAGGTGCCTTCTGTTTAGCCAAAGTCCCAACACTTGCAATAGGGGGTGGGGCACGGCGCCGATCCATTGATGACCAACCACTAGTCCTTCCTTCATCAACACCTAAAATAACAAATGAATGAGAAAACAAACTCATTATTTGTGTGCAAACACAACAAACTTGTCCTCTCTAGTTTTTGTCATGCTATCACAAAACCAAATGAACCTTACAGTGAATAAGGTGTTCTAACATACAATAATGCAAATCACCCAGAATCACTTGCAAGAGAAAAGGACGATCTGGGAATTTTCTCTAGATAATTACCTGACTGCCTGTCGTTTTGCAATGCTGGTGGTGCTAACCCAGAAGGTCCTGCACCATGGCCCTGCAACATAGGCTACTAATCAAAACTTCCCCAACAGATGTCTACATAGAATATGCATTTATTGTGGGGGTGTTGACTGTTAAGGCAGAGACTTACCACTGCACGGGGTGGAGCACTAGCAATTTGAGATTGCTGGTACTTCAGTATTGTCCAGTCAAACACATAGTCAAACTGAAAACCTGCAAAGCAGAATAACAATAATTAACTAGATGCTTGGATATTTTGAGTAGAATAAGCCTTTTACAGTTATATGGAGGAGGAAATCAATGTTTCTTGGGTTTTTTTTTAAAGTGTAACAGGGAAAATAATGTGCCTGCTCTGGACCACTTCAAGCATGACATCAAAACTAACCTTCCCGGATAAAAAGGTCACGGAAAAGTCGCTTAAGGTAGGAATAATCAGGCTTGTCATCAAACCGCAGTGAGCGGCAATAGTGGAAATATGATGCAAACTCAGTAGGATAGCCTCGGCATAGAGCCTGAAATAGAAGAACATTAGAGCCAACAGAATTGAAAGGAAGCACTGGCTTACAGTACATATGTGACAAATATAGTACCTCAATTGATGTTGCAACTTTTTTCTCACTGATTTTCTCATACTTTTGTTTCTTTGTTCCTGCTTTCAGACCCTGCCAAGGAAGACTGAAGAGAAAACAATGTAAAGATTGATGCATTGTACATAAAAGGGTACACAAATGGGTAAACCAATAAAACCCACCTCCCCCTTAAAAAGTACATAAGTACATATCCAAGAGATTCCAAGTCATCTCTTCGGCTTTGTTCTGGCCATACAAAAGGAACAAAAAATTTAGTCAGACCTATGTGCAGCGCGACGATGTGAAAGTGCTCCACTTGACAACAGATTGAAGTCCACTTGACAACAGATTGAAGTATGGAGTATAGACAGGCAAGAGCCATAATGGTAAAAAAGAAAATCATGAACTGGTTGGTGCCAAATCTCACCAATTCCGAGATGGGTGTTCACACTTGCATATCTTGCTGTCCCAGTCAAGTTTTTGTTCTCCCTGCAGCATTAATTAGCAAGTCAGAACCTTGACAAAATTGACCCTTTTATGTGCAATGCCCTTTTATGCTCTCTTGTTCTCCCACTAGACTCTGTGGGCCTGTGAGGATCTACTGAGGTCACTATCAAAATGGCTTAATTTGGTATAGTATTTACCAGGTAGAGCTTATGCTATTGTAATTAGAAAAGCATAAATTAACTCAGACTTGGTCCAGACTATAGTAGTGAATGCTGAGCAACTGTAATTAACTCAGATAACTTATGCTATTGTAATTAGAAAAGTATAAATTAATCATGAATGCAGAGCAATTGCCCTTTTCATTGTACCTATATGGGATGTGCTGATGAGTGGAGGTATCCCTGTACTTTTTAGCGAGACCGAAGTCTATTATGTAGACCTGAAATAAGAGACAGATTGATGAAGAAAGTGGTTAAACAACCCAGCAAAATTTGATCATCAAGAACTGAAGTGTCAAGTGAAAGCTGCAATTTACCCACCTGATTAGCTCGCCTACCAAGACCCATAAGAAAATTGTCTGGCTTAATGTCTCGATGGAGAAAAGATTTGGAATGGACAAATTCCACTCGGTTTATCTACAAGAGAGGGACCGAGATCACTTAAAGATAATCATGTAAGAACAAACATGGAACTAAAACACAAAGAGAGAAACAGAATTTAAATGTCAACATGTAAGAATGTGTCTGCACAAAGAAAACGTTGGTGTGGGTAGCAGGGGCAGAACTATAGGCCACGATGAAAGTTAGTAACTGAGACAGATCTACAGTTGATTCTTTGCTATGTAAAAGGTATTAATGTATAACTACTTAGTGGTTAAGAGTAGGCATACCATCTGATCAGCGAGCATAAGTACAGTCTTAAGAGATAATTTTCTGCTGCAAAAATTAAATAGGTCCTCAAGGCTTGGACCCAGCAAATCCATAACCAAGACATTGTAGTCTCCTTCTACACCAAACCATCTGACATTTGGAATTCCGGCTGCAAGAATAAAGATAGTCAAACCACATAGTCTCTTTTAAGCATTAAAACAGTATACAAATGCACAATGTAGAGCTTCCGTACTTCCTCCTTGCAAAATCCTGTAAATCTTAGACTCGTAGAGCAACTGGGGATGCTTTGTCTTCACGTTTTCCTGTATAAGAAACAAAGCAATCACATGCAAACTTCTTTGAAACAATGGTAGCAAGTAGCAACTAAGATAAATTACCTTGCATTCTCAAATTAATAATATAAAAGGCAACAAGCTATATGGATATTAATATCATGTGACAAGGCCGATCTATTTCTCATCATTTCATCACTACAAATATTAGCACTCTACTGGTGGAAATCATGCTACTGGTCCTCATTTCTCTGTTTGCTCATTTTAGCTATCGAGTATCAAGCAGTATTCTACTAATAGCTGAATATCACTTTATCAGTCACCGGTTTACCAATATTAGGTGGGCGCATCAAGACATGCCAATTTAATGAAGTGACTACACCAAACTACCAAAGGATTCACCTACTAGTAGGTACTAGAGCTGCTAAGGGATGAGGAACTGAATAGAAATCCAACTGAAAAGTTTGAATTGTTTCGAGGAAAGCGGCATAATAGTACTAACTATGCTATAGATACAAAAACACGAGCTGACAGGAGCTGGAACAACAGCAGTTGCAGTGGCCAAAACATCGGATAAGCACAAACAGCAGGCTAAAACAGCAGAACCACTGCTTCGAAGCATCAGAAAGCAGCATATCAAGAATATATTTTTTTAACAAAGATCTAAGCAGCTAATCCCCAGCAGAAGAGCACAGACCAGCTTAATCGCGACCTCCTCGTTCGTCTGGATATTAGTTCCTGCATGAACAAACAACCCACAACTCAGTACAGCAACACCAGAAACCGATCAAGCACCAAAAAACCAACCCCCCAAAAAATAACCCAAACTTTTGCGCAAGAGAAGCCCCGCACCGAGATAGATCTCCCCGAAGGAGCCGCTCCCGATCTTGCGACCGAGCCGGAACTTGTTCCCAACCCGTGGCTCCATCAGCTCCTTCCCCAGAGGAAAAAACCAGCAGAGCCGGGAAGCGTCCACAGAGAGCAAAACCGGAGAGGGGGGGGGGGGGGGGAAGGGCTAAAAACACGCGCTTTTCCACCGGAAATCTAGCGGCGGGAGGGAGCACAGATCGGCGCGGCGGGGCTGGGAGTGGGGGACTCTCGTGCTACCTAGGGTTTGAGAGGAGGCGGAGGGAGGAAGGGGAGGAGGAGGAGGAGGAGGCGGCCATGGCCGTACGGGCGAGGCGCTGCTGCGTGCGTACACACGCTTCGCTCGGATTAGTTTTTTTTTTTTCTTTTCCTTTTTGCTTCGTGGAGGAGTTGGGAAGTAGACGAAGCAAGCAAGAGGAAGAGAAAAGAAAAGAAGAAAAAAAGAAAAAAAAAACAAAAGGAGCGGTTTGGCCTTCGGCTTCTATGCGTACCTATCTATATCTCATATTCTCTCATCTATTGAGCATTTGGGCTTTGTGTTTTGAGGGTATCCAGTTTTGAGTCCCTCTCTTCCTCCTCGCTTTCGCTGTCTCCGTCTCTAAAGATTTTTTTTTCAAGGGTTTTGTAGCTTTGGTATGAGTGGTACATTATGGATAAGATAAAGCATTGGCTTATCATGATTAGAAATGTTAAGGGTGCAAGAAATTTGTTGCTCTAATTTTATAGGGTAAGGTATGCAATGCTTCAGGGTTTAAATTGTGTGCCTTGTAGCGGCATTTAGGCCTTTTTGTTTGTTTGCTATTTGCTTTGAGGGTTATCAATCTCAAGGCTGGTTGGATAAGGGTACTTAATGGCATGCTTCATAATGAAGCATGTCCAAAGAAAATTTTGTTTGCCACACTACAAGGTTAACCATAAAGCACATAGAATTCACTATTGTAGGCTAAGAATGACAATGACATCGGTGTGTTGTTTCTGATTAGGTTCATGGACTGCGTTAGGTTGCTTGTGAGACCTTTTTTTTTAGAAGCGGGACACATTTTGTTTGCTAATTTTCTAATATGTCGTTATTTTATTAACATAGCTCTTACATATTATTTGTAGACAATAAATGACTAGTACAACAATGTTTCCACATTAATATAAAAATATATGGTCATTGATTACTTATACATTATAGTACCATGACCATAGATCATGTCGAGAATTTGTGCTAAAATCACGCCATTGTAATTACTCTGGACTCTTCATTTTCACTTAACATATTTAGACTAAAAAGTGTCCATATAAAATACAACCTGCTAATTATTATTTCCGAATTTTGAACTTATCAAATCATGAAATGAGACTCTAGAGCAAATACAATTCAGGATTTATTAATTCCAAATCTGTAATTGTTGAAACATGAAAACCACTCTATAATTGAGACTACAAATCAAGTACAACTCAATATTTATCACTTATAAATTTGAAAATTATGAAATCATGGAAAAGCTATAATTGAGATTTCAAATCGACAACTGAAAATTTATTAATTTGAAATTTCTAGATTATGAAAAGCGCTAAATTGTGACTCTATGCATGATGAATTTAAATTTTAATATGATTAAAATTTTGATATGTGTTACATCAATAACAATAGCTCGTAATACATGGGTTGGCGACTAATTGTTGTTGGAATTAATGGATGGGCCTTAGCCCACTTGAAGATTAATTCTTTGGAAAATCACAAAAACCCACCTCATGGGATGGCATGCATGTGGAGTTTAGTACCACCTTACTTATTCTAAGAGAGGGGGACCTCCTTAAAAGGGAGGATGCCCTCCTAGCCACTTGAAGCATGTGTAGTGGAGAGAATAGGGGGAACACGCGCGCTTGCTCGCCGGGCCGGGCAGGCGGCGCGTGCACGACGTACGCGTCGAATGGTCCGCCAAAAATTGGTTCCTCACCTTGCGCAGATGCAGCCTCCTTTTGCAGTTTTGTTTTGCTGCAAATTCGGATTCGTTTTTATTTTGGAAACGTTCCGAAAAATCCGGTGCGTGAAAAACGGCGTGGAGTCCGGATAAGTCCATGTGTAGATCTAATGATGCGTTAATGCTAGTATATATCTGTAATGCCATGATTTATTTATGGAATATATTAAATCATTATATGCCTATAATCTCAACAATTGTAACGGTACATTGTAAAGATCATAGAAGATGCAGACAAACTCATATAGCTAGCTTGGTTCAAGATTAGATTTTACTATCGCACTCGTTTTTTTCAGCAAAAGAATTAGTCAGCTTTGAATGGAAGTCAATTTTACTCTGGCTTGGACTTGAATACTTCATTCAACAAAGTAGGAGCATGTGCTACCTACGTGGACTATTATGCCGTACAGGGTCGCAGCAGCGTTGCAACCTCTTTTACAGGCAGAGAATTAACAGGACATATGGATGAATGAGGCTTGTAGCTTCCTTTCCTTGGCATATAGTCAACTCATGCCATATCGTGTGAAAAGAGACATGCAAATAAATCACAAGTGGTAATCATTATAACGTAAATAGTAGCAATTTCGCCACAGGATGAATTCCGTAGAGACAATGAAATATCTCTGTGAAGTGTGTAGTCTATGGATTGTTTAGAATAAGGATATAAAGTTTTGGCGTGTCACATCAGATATACGGATATATATTTAAAGTATTAAACGTAGTCTAATGACAAATCAAATTACAGAATACGTCTATAAACTGCGAGAGGAATTTATTAAGCCTAATTAATCCGTTATTAGCACATGTTTACTGTAGCACCACATAGTCAAATCATGGAGCAATTAGGCTTAAAATATTCGTCTTGCAAATTAGTCGCAATCTATACAATTAGTTTTGTTTTTAGCTTATATTTAATACTTTATGCATGTGTTTAAACGTTTGATGTGATAGGGTGAAAAATTTTGGGATGAGATTTAAACAGATATTTAGGAAAGTGTCATAACGAAAAATACGCAAAGAAGATTGTTGGTACCCTGTTTAGCTGTAGATGTTCAAGAAAGCTGTGGACGCAACTCAAAAATCTACAAAATCTTTTTCCTTTTTTTAGCACTGGATGACGACACATTTTAGACGCTGGGCCAAGGATATTTTTTCTTTTCAGACCAGGGACCCAATGGCCAAGGCTACTGATGTGACAAGAGCCTTAAGATTTTTCCAACACCACGTAACACACAAACATTTGTTGACCCAACTTAGCTAATCAAATGGCTGGACAAAATCCACGCCTAACACCTAATTAGACACAATCAAGGCTATCTTAATCATTGGAGTCTTGGGAAGTTTCAGGACATATATATTTGTTTTGGGAGTAGCTCATGTCACAAGGGAAAAGAATGGAAGCATCTGCAAGATAAGCTGGTTTTGTTTTAAAGCATCTGCGAGCAAAATCCTGAATTCCTAACACACTTGGAACCTAGGACAGAGAGAATACCAAACCCGCTATGTACTACTGCTCTGTCCTATAAAAAAAATAAACTTTAGCTATGAACCTGGGCACGTCGTAGTTAGAATTAGACTCTTTTTTTTAATGGAGGGGGTACATTCTGATTTAGATCGGTTTGTATAATTGGCCTCTTCGTTTGGCAGCATGGAAAACAGAGACAAGAGAATGGTCATCCTATTATCCTTTTAATGGCCTCTTCACTATATTTTTCAATGAAAAGCTACGGCTCATCGAAATTACCGAAGCATATACTCGCATAGTTCAGAAGACCGAGGCGATCGCGACGGCACAAGTATTGTACAGTTCCCAACATGAGCCATGTTACGTTACTGTGTCTGTAACTGTAACTGTAGAAACTTCATTTCTCTATCATGAAAAAAGAAACCTTTCATTTCTTAGACAAGGTACTGGTCCAACTAGTACGGAGTAGTACTTTTATAGTAAAGCACCCAGCAGTCAGCAGGCAATAGCTGTTGCAAAACCATTGCCTTATTATCACGGTGTAAAAACATAACACTGCTTATTGTAGATGTCATTCTGGTGTAAAAACATAACAAAGAGCTGTTAAATGCCTTTACTTACACAAGCTCGAGAAAAGGCATAACAGTAGTCAGTACCTCAAACAAAAGAAAAAAAAAACTTTCATGCAACAGAACAAACCGATTTAGCAGTTGCCAACTAACCGAATGAAAAGATGAAACCTGGTCAAAATGCAAGGTTAAGTTTTCCAAAGAGGCTGTATAGATCAATAAGAGCAGACAAGCAGTATACGATATCACCAACCCAAACTTTAAAGATGCTACTCTAGACTTTACATTCACATCAGGAGTCAATTAAACAACATGGCACATTTGAGGTGCCAAAACAATCTTGCTCCAGCAGGAACTTTTTCTAGGCCTTCTCTTTCGATGGAGATGTTAGCAGATGCAATGTGGATGCATGGATTGTTGTGCTTGGGATGGGGTCCTTTCCTCGCGCTGAGCTAGGCCTCCTGATGCTGTGGGTACGCTCCACATTACTCTTCAAAAACTTCTGCATAGATCTGGGTAGCCGAGCAATTATCCGGGTTGAACTAACAAGAAGTATCACTCCTGTAATAATGAAGAACCTGCAAGGATAATTAAGTATTTAATTTATCTTGTAGATTTGTAGTAGAAAAATACTTTCATAGAAAATCCAAATGGAATAGGGAGCAGAAACAGACATCATATTTGTTGAACAGTATTTGTCAATCAAGACAACATGTCATCAGTCCAACATTGACATTATTTTGGCTAAGAGAATTTCATGAAACCAGTAACCTTATCAATGTAACTAATAAGCTCTGACTAAATGCCATCCAGTTGTAGCACTACATGAATTTGCTAAAAAGACAATGTTCATTACAGTAGCTGAGTATTGAAGCATGAATGGAAATGATTAACCAACAACAAAATCGCAAGAAATATTACCATCCAAGTAAGAGAAAAAAGCGGCCCGTGGGAGCTGTGGGAAGATGTTCATCAAGCGCAATCATACCAGCTACAACGCCAGACACAATAGATGCAACTGATGTACAAGTGGACACAACAATTGCCCTTCCATGCTTCAGACCTCGAGTCTGCATGAATGAAGTGTCCCCTTAGTGAAAAACTAAATGAAATCAGAGCAGATCATTGAAAAGGTATAAGAAAACTCCACATGGCAGATGTTATAACATATCTCATTAAATGGATCCAGTACATTAGAGTAATGTAAATGTAAAAGTGTAAAACAAAAGGATAAATGTCTTTGATGAAAACTAGAATTATGCATATCATCGATGCCGAATTGCCGAGTGGCCATCAACTACACACTAAAATAGCATCTTTTCTTTTCAGTTAGTTAACCATTTTTTTCCATAGCCTTATATTCAGTAGTACTCCCTCCGTCCCAAAATATAACAACTTTTAGCTCTTATGATTTGTCCCAAAATATAACAACTTCTCTACCAACATTCTCTTCCCAACCAATCACAACCCTCCACTATTCACTTTTCCTACCTACCTCCACTACTCATCCAATCACAACCCTCCACCACTTACTTCTACCTACTTTCTTAATAACCGTGTCTAACCCTAAAACTTCTTATATTCTGGGACGGAGAGAGTAGCTAATATTACATGGTATCACATGTTATGTGGTCATGCTCTAGCAGTCTAGCCATAGGCTCATGATACATTTATAGATCCACTTCTATCTCCTGCCTGAAACCCCACTTTGACGTCCCACCCCACCCCTGGTCCTGCTTCAGAGACAGAAGCTCATGCTTCTTTGTTTCCCCATGTGATGCACCCAAGGTATTGGCATAACAACTAGGTATAGGAGTCCAATTAATATCTGAATGCTTTATACAGATATTACATGACCCACCTAACTGTATACACTATCAAGGCAACAGTGCACACAAAGAACGGACCACGTCTCTAGGAAGTGAGACATACCTGATAAACAAATCCCACAGCACTGCAGCCCACACTACAAGAAATGGCAGCCGGTACAACAATCTTTGGAAAACCCATTTCAGACATCACGAATCCTGTCTTAGATATCACTGATGAAATCCTATACACAAAAGGCAGTATGGGGTCTTTCAATAACAGTAAATTAAAACAAAAGGAAGTTCCGGAACATAAACATAAAATGTTCATTTCATGATAATTGTATGATTCTAAGAAATATAGTACTCTTTCCGTTTCAGGTTATAAGACCCTAAACTGTTTCAAGTTTGACTAAGTTTATAGACAAATATAGTAATATTTACAATACTAAATTAGTTTCATCAAATCAATAATTGAATATATTTTCATAATAAATTTGTCTTGGGTTAAAAATGTTACTACTTTTTTCTACAAACTTGGTCAAACTTAAAGCAGTTTGACTTTGACCAAAGTCAAAACGTCTTATAACCTGAAACGGATGGAGTACCTCTTCAACAATAACTAGAAGAGTAGTTTCCACTTTGGGCCACCTTTTATTACCGATGTTTCACTTTGAACTACTCTTTAACCAATGTTTTCACTTTGGACTGGGTAATCTTACCTTTGTGGCACTTTGAACCACCGTTAACTCTTTTACCCATCTACGTCCAACTTGTAGTATGTAAAAAAAAAATGGTCTGCATATAGATGCAGGAGTTCCTTGACGAGTAGGAGCCAGCATACTCGAAATCGTTCATATGCTTGAGAAGAGAGTCGGAGTGGTCCAAAGTGCAAGAAAGGTAAGATTACACAGTCCAAAGCAAAACTTCAGTAATAAAAGGTGACCGAAAGTGAAATTTACTCTAACTAGAATTCAACAGCGAGGAATGATGAATGAGAAGACTTGATTTTGGTTGTACAGTTTCTCCTTAATAGTAGAAGACCATAAAACATGGTAAATAATCGAAATAGATAATAAGAAATTACCCAAACAGAATGCCAGATTCCAATCCATATATGATCTCCTCGATCACTTCAGGTCCAGTCTGTACTGATTCATGTTCATGATCAATATTTGCTATGCGTAAACATGAATAAATAATTCCAAAATTTTGGACTCACCAACTCTTGTTCACGCCTTTGCCTTTTGTAGATATGAAGCCAAGTGTTGAGAAGAACCTTAATTGGCAAACAGCAATACACTTTGTCATCAACCATGATAGAAGCCATGTGCATGAAAATTATTGATACTAGCAACCACTCTAGTACCCTAGAACATTGACTCTTGTTCAATATATAGTTCTCTAATCTGAGATAACCAAACTGTTTTTAAAACCTCTGGTGCTTCAGCAAGAAGGTTACTTGGGAGTTAATGGAAAGTGTTCCCAAAACAATTTGGTCCTGTGATTTACAGATTCTTTTATAATGATGAAAGAAGCCATGTGATTTACATCTGAAATGCAAGTGTATTATTCATATGGCATGTCTAAAATCCTTTGCCGCTAGGTGAAATAAAATAGCAGAATGATAGAATGGGTATAAGAAAACTCAAGCGGCACCGAGTATGGTACATTGGTACCTACAAACAAGATGACAATGGAGAGCACCAGCCAAGGTATATTGAACAGTGGAATTTTGTCCACTTTCTGCTCCTCGCCTCCAACACCAACTCCTGAAGTATAAGAGAGGGCACAGCAAATAAAATCAAACGCACGATCACTGGCCCATGTGTTGACCACGAATCCTGTGAAGACACATTTATTTGTTTCACCATTGGATGCGTATCATAAAGGTTGTGAATGCATTTCACCTATCGTGCCTAGACCGGCCAATGTGATGGCGACCCAGTCGAGCCCGTTCATGGACTCCTTGAGGTAGAAATGGGAGAACACGCAGAGTATGGCGAGGCCACAGCCGGCGATCGGCTGCACGACGGAGACCTGCGAAGCAAGCACGGGTGTCGCACCGCAATCAGCACACAGAGCACCTGGAATCGGTGGGGGGAGGAAAGGATAGGGGGCACGGGAACGCACCGGCGCCTGCGAGAGCGCGGTGAGCATGAGCGCGGCGCCGCACATGTCCATGAGGAATCCGCTGATCCAGAGCCTGTTCAACGCGTACGCCCTAATCACCTGCGCAGACACCCGTCAACGGATCGAACAGCAGCGTCGCGATGCGGAGAAGAGGTGGGGGGAAGAAGATGGTGGGAGGAGCAAGGGGGCGGGCGGACCTTGAGCTTGAAGGAGAGGGGAGGGAGGATGTGGGTGCCCTTCTTCTGGAGGACCTTGCCGACGTTGTTTCCGGCGGCGCCGGCCAGCGTGAGCGCCACCGACTCCCACATCTCGCGTCCGCCACCGCCGTCCCGATCCGATCCGATGCAGCACTCGGTGAGCCGAGCGGCGTGGGATTTGGGGGGGGGGTTTCCCCTTCTCTTTTATTCTAGAGCTCTTTTTTGGGAGGAGCCGAGGAGGAGGAGACCGCGAGCTGGAGGAGAGGTGTGGTGGTGGCCGGGTCGCGTTCGCTTCTCGCGTGGTAGCCTGCGCTTTTTCGGCCGCGCGCCCGTGATATCTCGCGATATCCTCCTATGTCCTGCAGCCGCCGCGGCCGGTGTTGGTGGCGCGTGCTCGTGGTCGTTTTGGTGCCTTCTTGCTGGTGGGTCGCGTGTGCGGGAAGGGAGCACGGAGCACGAATTTTTTTATTTTTAATTTTTTTATTAAAAGTTTTACAAAAATAATTTTCTATTTTGAAAATTGACGGAAGTAGTCGCCTACCGCCCTCTGGGAAGGCGATTTTTAAAAATCGCCCTCCCAGAGGGCGGCGAAAATGACGTGGCAGACGGCCGTTCGCTCTCGGGCGACGGCCGTCAACGAAATTTACAGGCGGCCCCCTTGCCGCCCTCCGCGAGGGCGATTTTGTACTGTGCGGGGGGCCGCCTGCAAATGGGCGGCGAGGGGGGGCATGGAATTTTGCAGGCGGCCCCCTTGCCGTCCTCGGCGAGGGCGATTTTGTACTGTGCGGGGGGCCGCCTGCAAATGGGCGGCGAGGGGGCATGGAATTTTGCAGGCGGCCCCCTTGCCGCCCTCCGCAAGGGCGATTTTGTACTGTGCTCTATATTTTTGTATAAATATCAATAGTTATCAAATCTTTTTATATTGAAAACTATACAAGATTAAAATCTCCAAGACTGGTAAAATACAATTTTATTATTTTTTAGGGCATATTTGGATTGTTACCGTACAAATATTTTGTTACCGTACAAATATTTTATTAATTTTTAGGGCATATTTGGATTGTTAGTGCCAAATTTTTCTTCACGACCAAATATTTGGTAAGGTAAAATTGCATTTGATCATATTTGGTTTGCTGCCAAAATGTAAAATTGTAGTGAAGAATGTTCTACATAATCTCAAATCTAGATTACGTATTACCAATGAATATGCTTCCATTTTCGTGTGTTGTGTGCTAGTGGGAAAGAAGATATGAAGAGGTTGCCTTCAGATTGTCAATTATATAGCGTCGTTTTCACTGCAATATATGTGAACTCAATGAGATACATTATTCATTAGATGTGACAAGACGATCACGCGTGGGCGTGATTCACTTTATGTAAACAGGCAGCGCCGAAAGTTGATAGTGATAACTCGAGCTGCCGCTTTTCATGTGTGCTGTTGTGGACTGTGCGCGCTACTGGATCTGACACTACCGTGCAGCGCCGAAAGTGTGTTGTCGTGAGCATAAGTTGTTCTAGCACCATATGAATGAAAAGAACTATGTAGACGAGACAAACACAAGTAGTACTGCAGTAGTAATAGCAAAAGTAGTACTGCTTTACAAGTTTGTAAGCCAAAAGAAACGGTCACATAAGGACTGAAGAGGTAGAACACTACTGACGAGGCCTCTTACCCCTGTCCCTCCTACCCTGCGCCCTAATGTGCCCGTGGGAGTACGTGAGTCGGTCCGGGGGTACGGCACGGCCAACCCGTCCTGCCTGTACAGGTGTGACCTCTGGCTGCTCCTGAGTGTGTGCCTCTGGAGCTCCTCCAAGCTGAGAGGAGCCTAGTACGTCGTGGTGGTCTGCACCGTGCAAGTCGTCGTCGTAGAACTGGCTAGTAGGACCAGTCCTACCGGCGTGAGACGAAGAGGCCCCAGTACCGAAGATCCCGGCTGCAAATCCTGCTGGACAAGGACCATCAGTTTCGTACAGGTATTTAACAGTATTAATAAAAAGTAAAGTACCGTGTGGGCGAGGGATCGACGCTCCGTGAGAGGAAGAGCTGGCGAACGCGCCCGAAGAGGTGGCGAACGCCCCTGCGGAGCTCGTGGAAGCGCCGGTCGTGCCTGCGAACGCGCTCGAAGGCAGACGAGGTCCTGCGATGAGGAAACGTGCAGTTAAAACATGGTGACATAATCGTGCAAAAGCTGAAACAAAAATGAACTAATATCTGGGCTGAACTGTACCGTGCGAAACCGGTGCTGTAGGTCGCACTGATCCGAAGCTAGGGGCGCTCGAAGGCAAACGAGGTCCTGCGAGGATGGATCATCAAGTTACGACGGGGTGATGTTTTCGTACAAAAACAGAAACAAAACTTAAGAAACCTCTGGGCTGAGCAGTACCGTGCGAAATAGGTGCCGTAGGTCGAGGTCCTGCTCCGACGGTAGGCGCGCGAGGCCGTGGTTGTACCGGACCAGCTGGAGGTACGACGTCCACGGCGCTGCGACAGGAGAAGACGCGCATGACCGCACGCATCTTCTCCTGCATCCGGTCGAAGGTCACCCTCTGCTCAACGTCAGTCAAGTGCAAACCTCTGTTCAACCTCACTTGGACTGCGGTGATATCGGCACTGATATCCCGTGCGGCATCAGCCTATGCAAGATGGAAATAACAAATTCAGTAGTTGTCCTATATTATGCAAGATAAATGAAATAATTGTAAGAAGTAATACAAATTGGATGTACCGCCACGAAGCCGCCACGAAGTAGTCTCGGTCACGGTGCGTGGGATACGCGTCCGTGACAGCGGCAACGTGCGGCTCTGGGGCGTCTGGAGTGAAGGTCACACGCGCACGAGTGCGAGGAAGGTACCAACGAAGGTAGTCACGGTAGTTCTCCTCCGTGTGTGGGAAGAGCTCGTTGATCACCTCCTCTGTAGCTAACACCCAGTCGTCAACGTACTGCTGTACACGTGGAGCCCAAAGTGCGCCTGCTAGCTGTCCCCGTCGAGTCAACCTGTGAAGAGAGGTAAATTATATGGCTCGATGAAGTAATTATCATAAAAATTTAGAAATGAACAATCCGAACTCACGAGTGGTCGGCAGGGAGGACGGTCGGCTGCACGTTGCCCGGAAACACCTGCCTAAGTCCGAACTGTCTCATCACACGCTGCGGGCAGTGAGGCTCAACAAAAATGTCGAACACCATCGGCAGGATGGTGAGCCAGTAAGCCTGGTCGCGTGTGCACAAGGACGAAAGTCCTAGCGGTGCTCTCGCAGCGACGGCCTCTTCTGTGTACGGCTCCCAGATGACGTCGCTCGGCTGGAGACGGTCAAACTCGAACACGAAGTCCGGGTAACCACGTCTCACCTGGACGTGAGCGTAATGACGCTGCAATAAACATGATCGGAATTAGACATGTTATGTGAAGAAAAAAAAAGACGACTGATAAACTTATAACGCAGCGAAGTTGCACTAACCCCACGTCGACACCAGTAAGTCCCCATCGTGGGACCGTCCTCTGGCCACTGCGCGCTGCGACCAACCCCATAGGGTGCGCTGTCCACCACTGGTCGACCTATGGCAAACCTCTCGGCTGCCCAAAGCTGAAGCAACATAGGGCAGCCAGCGATGATCGCTCCCGCGTCAGTCTTCGTGCACGCCTCACAGAGGGCACGGTACGTGGCTGCTAGCACGGCAGAACCCCAGCTCCACTGCGGCACGTCCTGTGGCTGAGCATCCGCGATGGACCGTGCGTAGTGGACCAGCCGGAAGTCCACAGCGTGCCCGTGGGTGCTAGTGAACATCACCCACCCGAACAACCACAACAGGTACGCCTCAAGGGAGCGTCGGACCGAGTAATCATCAGCGTCAGGGTGTAGAAGGTCCGCCTACAATTAAGAATGAAATGTTAGTACAAAACACTCATTCGGTCGCAAATAAGCACGTATGATAATAACAACTTATTTACTTACAGTGAACTGGAGCAACCAAGCCTTGCTAGGCCCGACTGTAGAGTACGGAGGAAGGGTGGTGGTCGGTCCTAGGTGTGGAAGGCGCATCACCTGCTCGAAGCGCGCAGTGATATCCTCCTTCCACCCAAAAACACCGTCCACGGGACCAACTGCTGCTCCCGCCAGCGGTAGCCCGAGCAGGTACGACACGTCCTGCAGTGTCGGAGCCATCTCCCCACAGGGAAGGTGGAACGTGTGCGTCTCAGGTCTCCAGCGGTCTACAAGAGCGGCAAGGAGTGACCGATCTGCATCCCACCGCTTCGCTGGGTCACGGTCGTCCGCCGCCGCCTCAACAAGCCTACAAAGTGGTAGAAGGCCTGCCGCACGCAACCTGTATAGAGCAAACTTCAAACATAAGTACAACACAAAGCAAAGTTGAGTTGAAATGTGAACATACGCGTACCAAGGAACGTGACGGGGGTCGACACGCAACCACTCGCGCGACGTGCGTGGACGGAAGGTGCCGAGCTGTGCACCCTCGACTGCTGACAGGAACGAGCGGTGGTTCCTGTCAATCCCACGGTTCAACAGCGCCGGTGTGTCGTACGCCATACCTGCATTAAATAGGTTGATCAGAAACATATAAATAATTAGTTCAACATAAGTAATTAGTTCAACATAAGTAATAAATGTTGAACTAAGCGAATTACTAACACATATTAAACAAGAGTACAAACAAACAAAAGTGTTTACTCCGAACACTCATCACGATAACATTATGATACAACACCGAATAATTCGCAATACTACTAGTACAACAATAGTCGGAGGTACTCATTACAACAACATTGAATTGAAATTACACGATAGAAGTATTTAGTCCGAACACTCATTACATCACAACAGCATTTTATTTCCTAAATCGAAAGCATTGTTACACCATGGAATCGCCTGCTGCGCGACGACGCCTTGGCCTTGCGCGCCTGCTTGTTGTTCCTTCACCAGGTGGTCGCCTACCATCACTTGCCTGTCCAGATGGACTAGCATCTGCGCCGCTTGGAACTTCTGCATTCTTCGGGCATTTCTTGTAAGTATGGCCGCGCAGATCACACTTGCTGCAGCGTAAAGTCCTCCCACCTGCTTCTGACTCATCCATATCATTTCTGATGCGTCTAGTTTGGCGTCGACCCTTTTTCACCCTTAACTTAGATGGATCTGGAATATAAAAAACTTGGGCACTCAGCGTTGTGTAAGATCCTGAGATCCCGAACCCATATATCTCCTCACTCCATGTATGAAAGATTGCTTCTTTCCTGAAATAATTTGAGACGTACACATTGGGAGATATGCCACAATCACCGGCAGCAGCAAGAACGTGTGAGCAAGGAAGGTGATGAAGCTTCGGCTTCATACAACTGCAGGTACATCCACCATCCGCCTTCAAGACACATTCCTGCACGGCTTGCTTGCGATAGATACCACGCCTGCTCCTATCAACACACATTATTTCATACCGATGCACTTGTGTGCCTTGAGCAACAACTCGATGTCTCCGTGCCTTTTTGATTTTATCTTCCATGTACTTTGTCACTACGTTGCCAAACACTATGTTGTCATCGGCCATGGACGGACCAATTTTCTTGTATCGATCCCTAAAGTACGCTTGCGTGCCGTGAAGGATGAATTCAACAATAGCAACCAATGGAAGTACCCGAACTCCTCGCATTACCCAGTTGTACACCTCTGCCAAATTGGTTGTCATTATGCCATACCGAGATCCATCGGTGTCGAACAATAGAGACCACTTCTCCTTAGGCTCATTCTCAATCCACTGAGTGAAATTTCTGATGGACGACCCTGACCTCCTTCTCATTGTTGGTGGGTCATCATGTAATGCACCAAGAGGTATGGGAGGCTCGTCACCTTCAACTAGTGGACTGCGAGATTGCTCATCTGTTTGCTTCGTTGTCAACTCATCCAACTTGTCCCACAACTCATTAAATTTCTTCTCTTGGTTCTGTGCACAGAGCCTCTTAAAGAGCTCCATAAGATGCTTGTTCTTGAATTGCTTGTAGAAATTTGCACCCATGTGACGCATGCACCACCGACTCCGAACATCAGGCCACTTAGCTGGAAGTCCCTTCTCATCCCAACCGTTCTGCAAGTAGTCAATAGCCCGCAACATACCCGCATGACGATCATGTATAAGGCAAACGTTGGGCCTCATACGCACCACTGCAATGTGCACTCTCTCTAGGAACCAGTACCAGCTTTCAGTGTTCTCACTCTCTACAAATGCAAAAGCCATAGGTAGAACCTGGTTGTTCCCATCACACCCAATTGCTGTCAATATCTGACCTCGGTATTTACCTGTCATAAAAGTTCCATCTATGCATAGAACAGGTCGACAATGCACAAAAGCATTGATGCAAGCACCCAATGAGAAAAAGGCTCTTTGCAGCACACTCTTTGTTCGATCATCAACCGATGTAAATGTATGTAGGTCATAGTACGTATTATTATTCCTCTGGGCAATGGTGGCTAACAAACGAGGCAAATTATCATAAGAAGCTTCAAATGTGCCATACCTCATCTCAATGATCTTTTGTTTGGCTCTCCAGGCCTTTGCATAGCTTATGGTGTACTTGAATTTGTTCTCGATGTGCCTAATAATTGATTTTGGTTCAAAGCCAATGTTACCAACAACACTGCTGTACATCTCACTTGCCACAAAAGCTGAAGTGATGTTTCGGTGATACTTCTCCACCCCTTGTAAGTAGCACTTGTGCTCGGTCACAATGCTAACTTTCCAATAATCATTCCATTTACCCTTATATGCATGGACACGCCACGGACAATCTTCCTTCATGCACCTCACTTCATACACATAATTTGTTGACTTGACCACCCTAAACTCTCTCTGCAAGGAAACTGCCCAATGCTTCACCGCCTCCTTCATCTCATCCTTATGAGCATATCTTGCACCCTCAATTACCTCGTTCTCCTTATACTCCCAGGGTACATGATCACCCTCTGATATAACAAGTCCAGAGAAGTCCTCATTTGCCCAATCAGTGGCCATTACATCACCTTCCTCATCGGATGATGCGTCGTCGTCCACTTCCTCATTATCCGAATCTTCCCTCTCCATTTCATCAACAATTATACCGACTCTCTCCCCCTCATCCGCCATGCCCATAGCCTGCTCCTCCCTTGGTTGATTTTCCTCATTTTGCATCGATGGTCCAACAACATCCCCTGCATTGATAGGACCCTCTACATCTTCGGTTTGCATTGAAACATTTATATCTTTCTCTTGTACCGACACAAATATAACGAGGGGCCATGACCGTTCAAAAGCCATTTCCACATACCGTCTCCAAGCATCAGTGCTGTCCATCGGCATTAGTTCCCAAAAATAACCTTCTGTTGCACGACTCACTACAACTGACACTGACATTGTGTAGACTTCTTGGTCTATTCTAAATCCTCTCAACAACCAACTATAAATTGACTGAAATGTTCTCTCCGCAGGCCTATCGATGCCCTTAGATGTCATTACAAAATCTGACAGATCAACACCATCTGGACCAAATCTAATATTTCCTTCACCGTGAACTATCTGAAATGTGACCTTACTTGACATTGTGCCTGATGAAAACAATAACTGCGTTAACCTCGCATTTCTGTACTACGCCCTAAGTTACATTCTCTACAATATTGTTCTCTAAATTTCTAAAATTACGTTACATTCTCCAGATCAAACTAAACTACATCTTACAATTAACACTACTGTCTATGTCTCAATTCATACTATTATATTCTATGCTCTGGATCTACACATATGTGCTGTGTGCTACAGATGTGCTAAAATATATGGAACTAAAACTAAAACGCAACATATATACTCAAACATAACATATTAGTACAAATGCACAAAAGATGTATGGGAGCATACCTGTGATGAATTGAGCGAACCAGCAGGGCTTCGCCGCTCCCCTTCTGCTGCCCTCCCCTCTCTCTCTTTTGTTTTTTTTGGATTTTTAGTGAATATAATGAAATTTCACAGAGGAGGGACTGGGCTTTATAGGGGGAGAGGCAAAAATCGCCCTCCCCCAGGGCGGCAAGGGGGCCGCCTGCAAAATTCCATGCCCCCTCGCCGCCCATTTGCAGGCGGCCCCCCCCACAGTACAAAATCGCCCTAGCGGAGGGCGGCAAGGGGGCCGCCTGCAAAATTCCATGCCCCCCTCGCCGCCCATTTGCAGGCGGCCCCCCCCACAGTACAAAATCGCCCTAGCTGAGGGCGGCAAGGGGGCCGCCTGCAAAATTCCATGCCCCCCCCTCGCCGCCAATTTGCAGGCGGCCCCCCGCACAGTATAAAATCGCCCTAGCGGAGGGCGGCAAGGGGGCCGCCTGCAAATTTCGTTGACGGCCGTCGCCCGAGAGCGAACGGCCGTCTGCCACGTCATTTTCGCCGCCCTCCCAGAGGGCGGTAGGCGACTCCTTCCGTCAATTTTCAAAATGGAAAATTATTTTTGTAAAACTTTTAATAAAAAAAATTATAAATAAAAAAAATTCCACGGAGCACCGCGCCGGGAGGTGCTGCCAGCCTGCGACACTAGACTCTCTCGGCCCAAAAAAATAAATTGGCTCACATGTTGGCAACGCTGTTGCCATGCTGCGCATCAACCTCGTTTGGTCTTGCCCAATTTTCGGCTGGCAACGACGAAATGCCCCTTTTAGTTTTTGGCTCAGATGTTAGCAACGGCGTGCTGCTCATCAACCTCGTTTGGTCTTTGCCCTAGTAGAAAGGTGAATCCACGAGTGAATGTAGAGGTAATAGAGATAAAATAACCAACAATAGAAAAGGATAATTCACGAGTGAAGGTAGACTTAGTAGAGATAAAAGGACGAGTTAGAACAGGATATGAAGCCTAGGTTTATCGTTTAATGTCCCAATCCAGGGAGGAATCCATGTCATAGCATCACAGCCTCGCCGCTGTCATCGTTCCGCTAGGCTTATAAAGTTGTTTGATTGATCTACAGAAAATTTGTAGAAATTCAAAGAGATCCTTGCAAGACAAAGAAGTGAAACATAGCGTTAACCTCCTGTTACAATTCATCTAAAATTCCCATGTGTAGGGCCATTCCATATGAATTTTGTAGGGATCCTAGAGATTCACCTCTCGCAACAACGAATGCAATTCCATTTCTTCATAATTCATCCAATCCAAAGAGGCCATAACTTATTTTTGCACAAGCACTTCAGAACAAATCACCACATAAATATTCTCATAACTAATTGGTAAGTAAACAAGCTTTTGCATACACGAATCTCTACATAAATATATCATATTTGCACATAGATGTTGCATGAAGGGCATTCTCAAATCACAACTTGAAACTATGAAGCATGATATCTGCCCAAGAACTATGTTCAATAGTTGCTTGTAATTGCAAGCATAAATGAACACATTTCACAAAATGTTAACACTTGGTAATGCAAGAAGCATCTTACTATTTTCCCTTATCATGCGAGTGTAACAAGGATGATGAGGTTTGGCACAAATCTAATGGTGAAATGTGGTAGGTGCATAATGTAAAAATTAGCTTACAGCATCCCATAAGATCTGGATGTCACATATTGCAGTGATTTGAGGAACCGCGACAATGCATGAAACTTTTAGAAACTGCGAATACCCTAAGGATAACTAGCAACCACCAACCTGGCAAAATTCACCTATTTGTACCTTCTGGGCATAATGGACATATCAGAGCAGCACAGCATGAAACATCACAACTCCCCATATATGATGGCAACAATTGGCTAGTACAATGCATAAAAAGTAAACAATCTAATTGCAATAAGAAGGTCAATATCTGGAGCATGGATGCTTGAACAAGGGTAAATGTCTCAGAATTGAGGCATCCACACAATAAACACAGACACGATGGTGCCTGACTGATTTGGCATAACACAAGTTCTATCAAAATTTCTTGGTAAACCAGTGCCATCATACATGCTTTTAACCATACAAGCTGAATGTCGCTAATAAAAAATAAGTCTTAAAATTAAGGAAAGGATTCCAAATTTCTAATTTGAGTCTCATTTGCGAATCATTTCGGATTTCCATGAAACAAGCATGGCAATCATATGAAGGAGATCCGCTACCATAATAAGAAAAATGAGCAACCAACAGCATGACGGGAATCAAATCATTACCTATAGCAACCAGAAAAGACACATGCTAAACCAGCCACACAAGGAGTACCTGCTAAGAAAGAAATGTATAACCCGAACACTGTCTCAAGTGGGAGTGGCCTATAGCAGCACAAGGCCAAGCTCTGATGGCTTGATTCCATTGCGGATGCGATAGTTATAAAGGTAATAGTGGAGCTGCCCATCTCCAGGACCAAATTTGAGCTCCTTGAGGAATGATTCATTCTCCATGACATCAAGTGCGTTGAACACATCATAGTTCTTCTGCTTGGCCACGATCAGTGCATCGTTCATCAGCTGCTGCAGCGGAGTCTTGGTGGAAACATTGTAGTACGAGTATGCAGCCTTGAGTGTCGCATAGTTGGCATTGTTCAACACTGATGAGGGTAGCGTGTAAAAGCTGCAGAAATCCGTGACCTCGTGAGTTTCAGGGCTCTCCACGAGGTAGCTGTCCACCACATCCTCCCGAGGAAGCAGCCAGTGCTCCACATCCATCTCATCAAAGTCCGGAGCCACCACGAACTTCGCAAGGTATGCCCTCAGCAGCCGTGTGACCGCAGCGACATCTCTTAGCTCCATCTGGCGGAACCCAGGAGTAAGCGGAGCTTCAGGCAGCTTGTAGAGCCGAACCGTGCGACTCATGGTCATGCGAGGTCCGAGACGGGAGAACCCAACATCAATAAGCTTCTTGGGGTTGAGGGATCGGTGCCAGTACCGGCAGGTGGTGATGGGGGTTGGGAGGACAACCCCCGCAGTGTACGCAGCCTGCCAGATGTTCTCCTGGTGGACGCGGCGGGTGACCTCGCGGATGAGCACGGGGGCGAGGCGCTTGGATCGGAGCTTCTTGTGGACGCAAAGGAAGTTGATCTCTGCCATGCGGACGACGTCGTCGCGTGCGCGGATGCGCGCGGGGACACCGGAGATGAAGGCGACGAGCTTCTTGGACTCCCTGGCGCGGACGCCGATGTGCCAGGCGCGGAAGAAGGAAGGGGGGCGGAGCGCCCAGCGGAGGAAGGCGGGGGAGTAGTTGAAGCGGAACATGTTCTCGTCGTCCTCGACGTAGTTGTGGGCGAGGAGGGCGTAGAGATCGGTGAGGAGGGCGTCGTCGTCGAGGTCGCAGGTGTACCACTCGAAGGCGGCGGGGAGCGGGTAAGGGTCGGCACGGACCTCGGAGAGCGGGGTGGGCGGCTCGATGGCGCCGTCGGGGAGGGAGGAATCGGCGGCGTCGCGGAACTGGCCCACCGGCTGCGTCTCCCAGAACTTGTGGCGGCGGGCGGTGGGGTTGGAGGCCAGGGTCATGTGCTCCTGCACGCGCCGCGCCAGCGCCTCGATCGAGGTATCCTCCGGCGCGGGCTCGCTGGTGGTGGCGCTGGCGCTGGCGCCGGCGGCGGCGTCGTTGTTGTTGGGGGCGGCCATGGCGATCTGCGCGGCGGCGGAGCCGGATCGGCGGTAGGGTTTGAGGGGGATTTGGGGGGAGAAGACGACGAGGGGGAGGGAGGGGGGAACGCGAGGGGGCGGATCTCTAGTCTCGTGGGCTCTTTGGAACGGAAGTGTACACAAAGATACTCCTCTGATTTTTCATATATTTACAATAGCATAGTTCACCAGCGAGAATTTTGAAAGGCTATTTCAAAAAGGGCCATTTTATTCGTCAAGATTCTACAACTATATAAGGGCCATTTGAATTGGAGGATTGACATGTAAAGTTTAGAGGATTTAGTTTTTCAAGGAATTTTTTTATAAGACCCTTTGATTAGTAGTCAAGGATGGAAAAATTTTCATAAGATTGAATTCCCCTTATTCAATTTTGTAGAAAAATAAGCAATAGGAAAGGATAGAAAATTTTTCATACCATTAAATTTCTATGGCACACTTTTATAGAAAAATAAGTAAGAGGTCCAACCTTATAGAAAAGTAGTTTTTCTATGTCTTCCATTCCTGTCATACGTTTCAAAAGGACATAATTTGTTTTTTTATTTCAAAATTACTTCATAATACGTCAGATACTTGGTCCAAACGAGAATTTATTTGCAATTTGCAGTTTTTGCATCTTATTTGATGCATATGGGTGGGTCGTGGCTATGCATAGCCAATCAGAAGCAGTCTTCACAAGGTTGAAACAAACAGAGAAAAGTGCATCTTAGAGGGCAAAATTATGGAAGAATCCGCTTTAGGAGCTTTCCTTTGGCAAAGCCAAAGATCACCAGTCATACACAGAGAAAGCAGCATCAATGGCCACAGGATACAAGCTAAGCATCAAGGGAACGCAATTATCACATTCGTCAGGAACAAAGCCAAGTCGAGGTGAAAAGCACAAGAGGAACGACTTGTGATAACCAAAGTAAAACGCTTTGTTTTATGTGCTCTCTAAATGCATGTAACATTCATTTGCTCCCACTTAACCACTTATGTTGCTATTTTTATCAAGCCAGAAACTACATGATCACACTTGCAATCGCAAGATGAGATGCACATTTATATAATTATAATTAAGGATGAGCGGAACACCTGACGTTTTTGAGGTAAACGTCTTAGCCGGCTCGACCCAAGTACATAACAAGTTAACAACATGTTTTAAGTTACACATCGGAGGAACAACATGCCAAAGATGACAGGGCAAACCAACCTATGCAAGTACAGTAGAACCAGTGCCGCTGCCGTTGCCGCTAACAGATTGGAATTCAAAATTGCTTTGCGCCACTTGCATTATTGTTAATATCTCTCCTCTTGAACCTGAAGCATCAGCAAAAGTCAAAGGGAAATAGTGGAATGGTGAAAAGTAAACTGCTGGACAAGAGGCATCATATATATACATCGTTCATAGATCTCTGTTGCGAGTGTAACGAGAGACTCGGTCTCCTCAGCAAGCTTGAAGATCCTTTCAGCCTCCGTCATGTGCTCATTCGCAAGGTGTGATTTGGCCTCCGCATCAGCCACTTTCATAGCTGCAGCTGCAGCTGCTTCTAGGGCAGGACTCGTACCAGCAAATGAACCTAAATTCTGCGATGCCTTCAGTGGCTTGGCTGGATCCTTCTTTGGACTTGGAGACTTATTTGCTTGCGAAACTTTGGCTGCATAAGATTCTGTGATCCTATAGGACCTGTCAATCTGTTTCATGTCAAAAGTATAATGTAGTTAGATAAATGTCAACATAAGTAGTTAGATAGCTACCACTTGCACCTGGAGATCTTTGCTATCTATCTTATGAACACACAAAGAAGATTCTGAAGATTAGCCACAGGACTACAGGATATATTGCATGTGTGCTCCATATACTAAAAAAGAAAGAATGATAATCTGGATTCAAACACCAATTTATGCATTCTAGACAAATCCATTTCGAAGGGAAAGTCAATATATCAAATAAACAATTAGAACTTGAATAATATGCACAGTTCCACAATGAATAATTGTAAATTGAGTTATTGAATGCCAATTTTACAAAAGAGAAGTAAAATGAAGAATCTGAATTATGGGCTTGATGCAGAGTTATAATTGCAAAATCTTTAAATCGCAAATTTCCCTCAAATCAAAACAAATGCTGAGAAGATAGCTCAGTGAGGCTTCCCTATCCTCCAACCAATGTTATCCATAGTCATCAACTCGTCATGCAGAGGCCCTAAATGTGTACCCAGCTATTGATTATGCGAGGAAGATAGCGGGAAATGGGAAAATAAGCCTCAGAATGAGTGGGTTCCATCCTTATTCATGTGGAGATGGTAGAAACTAGGAAACCCACCACTCTTAACCATCCAAACAAAACCTAAAGGGGAATATGTAAGCCACACTCAAGCAAAAGAATAGTGTTGTTTACAAGAAGGAATATTAGTAAATCTCACCTTTTCAATCTTTTTCGCTGCTATAAGCCTCCTTAATTTTGCAGTAAGCAATCTTCTAAAATTCGCTTGCACCTCGTGCCTTTGCTGCACATATTTTACAAAGACAGCATAGCAATGTATCATCATTTAGCAATATAACAATTCCTACCAATCACTTCTAAGGATAAAACAGGATGCAACACTGAGTAAGAAAAAATGGTCTCAGCAGGGTTGTCTGATTTGGGATTGGGATCCATCATACTGAATCCAAACAAATATTTTTTAGTCCCACACTACATGGTAGTTGTGCAGGAAATTGTTATAAAATCCAAAGTGAAAGCTCCTGTAGTAGCAAAGGCACTTTTAGAAGCTTCCTAAAGTATAGGAAGCTGAAATAAACACAATGGCACACATATATACCAATAACTAAGGGACTTTATACCATACAGTCAATCAGGCAATGATTCAGAAGAGAAAAAGAATCAAGCAATCGCATTTTGTTAATATTCTGATCATGTTAGTTGTACACATATCTGAATCATAATTTATTACGAAATCAAGAACAAACAAAACTTGAATGAATTCAGAAGAAATAAAAATAACTACTGGCAAATAGTGATACCAAATAAGAAAATTTGTGCAGATGCACAACCTCTATGTAGTGGCAAATTGCATCAACATCCGAACCATTTGGATCCCCAATTTCACAAAGAGCTTCTATTACCATGGAACTGTACCTAGCAGGGAATTTGTACATGATCAATTTCTGAATCAAATGCTTGTCGAGGACAAAATGAAATTGTCATAATATTGATTGCAAACTATAAAAAAAAGTATCGCCAACTCTGCCCATTGCTCCAAGGATTGTTTTCAATCTTTATGATTTTATATTATTCTTGATTACTCTGTTCGCTCTTTCATTTTTATTTCACTGCTCGTAAAAAGTAACTATCGTTTAAACTAACATACTGTTTCATCGAATGAAAATCATACAAATATCGTAATTTAGCTCAGATAAATAGAACAAGACTTTCAGGTGTATTGAGCATATCATGCACTAATACTAAAATGGGCATAATAAATAAAAATAAATTTTGTATGTATTCATGAACAAAAATAAATTAGTGCATGCTTGTGACCAAAATTTGAAGGCATACAATGACTTATACTATGTAGTTCCTGTCAGCTTAATTGATTGAACTGAAGATAATGAAAGGCTAACTTTGGAATCTTCACATCCTGAGAGCTTTTCTCAGGATCTGCGGATGGTGAAGCCTCAGCAACTTTATTTGGGGGTAGGACGAGAAGCGGAGTCTGAGAGCTTGGAGATGTGGAAGATGAAGGCCCTTTTATCCTTGGAACCTTTAATTTATCCCTTGAACCCAGTCCACTTGCACTAAAACTCAAATTCCTCCATTTGTCCTGAAAGAACCAAATAAAATTGAAACAGAAAGAAGGGAAGATAATAAAAGCACTTGAACAGGGTGCAGGATGCACAGTACAATTGAACTGACAGACTTTCCTTGTATTCCTCAAATTTCAATACTGATACAACACATCGTCTAAGTTTTAACAAATATTGCTGACTTGGATTGTAGGCATGGAAGATGATTGTAATGTAGGACAAGATGTTTTAACAAAAAAATCTGTATCAACTTAGAACATTATGTGATTCTATTTTTCACAGCCCTCTTCATTAACTAAAGAGATCACAGGAAAAGGCATGCTGGCATACCATTGCTCCAATTCCATATTTTAGCACTTACGAGAGGACGAAATAGGAGACTACAATTGTACAACACAAATGTTGCTTCAGAAGAGTAAACATTATGTGTTGCATAAGAATTTGCAGCAACAGCTAACAAGTAATAGTACTCACTGGATGAACAATGCGGATTTTTTCACATATGCTCAGTCTAGGGACATTACAAGCAACCAGCAGCATATCTCTACTACTTAAAAAGTACTAGTGCTCTATATCACCCCTCATTCATAAGATCATTTTTTATGACATTGCGCCTGGATGAGATTACATGTATGCATTTATGCAACTGTTTAGGTCAGAAGATAATTACTTTTTTTTGTGATACATATATGTGTGCAACTTGTTCCTATATGCATAAATTTATTTAGTAGTTTATTCACATATTGGACCCGGAGGACGAAAAAAATGACCCAGCAATCAAATTAGAAATAAGTAAAATAACCATTGGGCAAAGTTATCTAAGATTATCAAGCCTTCACAAATGACTGAAACACATACTCAATCTGAAGTTTGTCAATATCTAGAACTGGTAGGGTCATTCGGTGCAGTGTTCAAAATTATTGAGAACTACAAATTTTTCCCCTGTGTGTTACTGTAATTTTGGTAGTAAAACTACCTAGATAGTGATTATAACTTTATATATAAGGATGGGTACAACTTAGAATGATTATTCTATTTCTATTCTGTAGGAGGATATTCATCCTTGAAACAATAAAACTATATTACCCTCCGATACAACATTCATGATGTTTTAGATAAAATATTTTAAAACACGAAGGATTATTATTATTATTATTACATTTGACAGTAAAATATTTGTAACTTTTTTTCTACCTTTACAATGTAGTTTCTCATGTCATTTCTTATGGTACTGAATAGAGTTCAGTAATCTGGACAGGTTCCAGTTTTCAAAGGCCATGTAATCCAAGTCAGCATCCAAAGGTTTGTAATTAAATGGAGGAAAAGCTAAGCCAACTTTGTTTTGGTCAACTTTGCATCCAAAATAGAACTACATTGTCAAAAATAACTAAGCATTTGCCTAATTATCGACTTTTTAAAAAAAATATTTATGAAATAATTTTGTGGTTGAATATTACAGTTTACAGTAAATAATCAGATTCCACATAGCAAGCAATGTTTCTTGAAATACCAAAACCGTTCTGTGGGCCACAATCACTTCTCAGTCTCCATTGCTCTCCAAACTCATGAAAAGCATTCTATTTAAGGTTTTGATTTATGAACAGTATGAACAATGCGGTTCATGACCTGACTATCCATCCACATTCTCAACTGATCAATGCTAAATCCTTTCTGAATAGCAATAACTGCTCTGTTATCAAGGAAGAGGTACTCCAGCATTTGTTCAACTAGAAAACAGCTCCTGTCTGTCCTGCTAGTTTCAATCCACTATGACCATACCCACAGACAACAGCACCATAATTCTTCTCTTCTGAACTTGTAGCAGCATCTATGGGCAAAACCACATAACGAATGAATCCATTCCACCAATTGAACTTTTGCAGATATTATGTTATCCCATGAACAGACACAAGACAAAATTCAAATATTCTAACATCATTTGTTTGTGAATGAAAACAGTATTTTACTGTATGCTCCAGATCACGAAGCAACCACCGTTTATGTTTTCAAGGACGCGGCAGTGGCAGCCGCGCAGCATAACACCCCAACCCCGACACACGCAGAGCCACCGGTTGTCTGTCTTCTCAAGGACGTGGCAGTGGCAGCCACGCAGCGCAAAAAAACCCACACCCACACAGAGAAAAAGGCAATCCATCAAAATTAATTCCACCAAGTCAGTCACGCTTATACATTTTTAGTTACAGAGAAGCCCAAAATCTCACCTGCTGGACACCCCCCCCCCCCCGCCTCGAAAAAAAAAATCTACCAGGACATCCCTGGTTTTCACATCACAACTTCGCAATAATCAAATTCCACCGAGTCCGCTCAGGCTTGCGTTTTTAGAAACCTAGAAGCCCAAAATCTCACCTGCCCAACCCCAAATCTACCAAAAATGTCCCCGGCTGTAGAGTTCTAAGGATCCTACGCACACGGCTAACAGTAGCATCATGCACGAAATCAGACGCAGACGGCACAGCGCATCACGAACAGAGCCACGGGGAAACTCGGCTAATCAAAATCTAGCGATGCAACGAGCACGCAGCGGACCGCACGAGCCACCGGCGCATGGGAGCCGGCGGTGGCGCAGGGGCAAGGTCAGAGGCTGTACCTTGAGGTCGATGTTCGAGCGGGAGGAGAGGACGGGGCTGAACTCCGGATCCTTCTGGATGGTGCGCCACTTGCCGGGGCCATGCTTGAGCACGCCGCGCCGCAGCGCCTCCTCCTCCTCCGAGGTCCACTTCTGCTTCGGGGCGCCCATCTCCGCGCGCCTCCTCCCCACAAGCCTCCCCCGCCTCCTGCACTCTCCGGCGTCTGAACTATCCGACCAGAAACCCTAGTTTGGGTTTCTCTATGGTCTGCGAAATGCCCTGTTTTTCCTCTCTTATTTTTTTCCCACATCCACGCGGTTCGATTCATTTTTTACAGCAGTGGTACGACTACATCAAAGACCAACACACATCCATATATCTATAGTGTTATAAATAGATATAAACTGAAAATTCGCATGCCAAAAACGTTTTCCTTTTAGCCCGATATCTTTTAATAAGGGTAAAGTCAGTTGTGCAGCAATTTCGGCTCGAGTCTTATACCGACAGAAAAATTGCATTAGGAAATTACAAATTTTCACCTAAAATTTATCAAACAAATTTGCGCTCCATATTAAACCCTATAATTGATATATTCTTGCCTTTGACCTATCTTTGTGCTTTTGTAGAAAGCTGATAAACAAAATATTCGGTGGTGATAATGGCTATTGTTGGATTGTTTAGTATCAATGCATGGACGAAATGGGTCTTTTTTTTTCCGCAGGTGTCGGACCATTTAATACTAACAACAGTAAATTTCATAAACCTCAGGAATTATCTTCAAGTTGCAGAAAACAAAATATAGTTTGGCACATGCAGTACTTAAAAGAAACTTCAAGCCTGAACCTTCATATACAAAGGGTGAAAAAAACAGAATACAAATACACTTTATATATATTGTATCGATGTCATCATTTTTTTCCAAACAAAAATTTCACAGATATTAGTACGTGCTCCCTCCGTAGTAAAATATAAGTGGTTTTGGATGGATGATATTTTAGTACTACGAATCTGGACATATTCTCTGTTCATATTCGTAGTATTAGGACGCGTTATATCCACATAAAATCTCTTATATATTGGGACGGATAGAGTATTGTTAGAAAATAAGAGAACAATGTCTTAAAAGGGTCAAAGAGAACATTTATTTTTAGGTTATGAGCCACTCACTCATATGTTATAATCACCAGCCTAGCCCAACATATCCAAGCAACCCACACTAAAAGTGTGGTTGAAGCCTGCTGCAAAGGTACGCACGCATGCGGCACATGGATGTGACTAGCAAGTTGGAAGGCACGCGAATGTGCGATGCGCACATGATGTGCAATGTGCTGACACATGTAAAAAAATAATGTTGCATAATAGTCCAATCAGCAGGTGAGGAACCTGCCAGCATAACAATAATTGATTGATGTATATAAAATAATTATTCATCATAGAGGCGTGATTTTAATGACTCATCTAAATATATTACACCCGTTAGATGTAACATGCAGAGACCAAATATATACATCATAGAGCTTGCCAAAAGAAATGGAGAACTAATAACTTAACCTTATTCTCATGTGAAATTTTCGAGGCAGAGGTAGAAAAAAGCGGATCATCTATATACATCACGTGGATACTGGTTTCTAAGACCACTAGCATAGATAGAGAAATATTCCATGTATAAATTTTATTTTAGTACTTAGATCAAAATGTATATATGACATTGCAAAAATGTGGAATATATTTATTTGACATCAGCGTGAATGACCATAGATAGTTCCAAAAGAAGATGGGTTGACCATCATCAAATGGTAAGAAAAATATAGCATGAGAGATAAAATATGAGTGTAATGAGACATCGTCGATTAGTTAATCAACAATCTTCGGTACTTAGGTAGTTTATACGTAGTTTGTATGGAACCAAGGATCTAAACCCTTATGTGCACAATTTTTTTTTACATATTTAGGCCATTTGAATAGTAATAACCCTATGTTCGTTTGGTTCTTATGTCTAGATGTATATGAGTATAAGATCTATGTTAGAAATATGAGATGGGATAAAACCCTAGCTGTTTGTATGGCTGGCTATGGCTTAGGTTGATGTTGACAACTCCTCTAGCAACAAGGTATAGTCGATAAGAGTTTTTTGATTGTTTGTAGCCACTTGGATAAACCTGCTTTGACATAACATGTCTGTTAGACTCAGGGCCTCAACTTATATATACATAAGCCCACTATATCCTCATAACACTCGTGAAGATGAATCTCATATATCCGAGTAGGTATTTAATATCTACTATATTAGATTAAACAACTCAAGTTTGATAACGTTAAACATCTTACAAGTTCCATATGAAAACATTAAACAGATTCAAGATATATGTCTGGATTTCATGTTTTGTCTTCATGCATTTTGAATTCATGTGGTTTCCGTGTGTGCAATCCAACCAACTGCTTTAGATTTTTTTTATATGTTTTTAACTTGTATAAGAATTTACAAGATGTGATATCCTAATCCCGTGAGTTTCCTATCATTGCACAACTCCATCCGTGTTCCAAAATACCTAAGAGCATGGCTAATGGTTCTCCTAATTAAATTCCAATCCCAAAAATCTCATTCTAGGACTTTGTAATGATCATTTATGATTTTAAAAATATGTCTATCTTTAACAAATAGCCTAAAACTTAGACCCCTAAAATAAAATTGTGGGCCACCACAAGCTAACAATAAAAATCATTATTCTCTCCATTATCCCACATTGCTTGATTGGTCACGTGTCAAGTGATTGCCTCCTCCTCCTCCTCCCCCCCAACCCGCGCACGATTGAATGGGAGCGAGCACCGCGCTTGACCTATGGAGAGTGACATTCATGGGAAAATAAACTCATTCTTAAGTAAATGATTAAGGGTTTATTGGAAAATTCTTTTAAGGGAGCCGCTATATCATGGGATCTTGTCCGAATGGTATGATATCGAGCAAGTATCAGACTCTAATACCTCACTGGTATCAGTTGATACTTATCGGTATCATGCCTGATGCTTGTCGATACCAGCCTATACTCTATCAATACCAGGTCAATATCCTTTCTCTCTTCCCCCTCAATCTCTTCTGCAGTGATGACGGCGTGCTCCCCAACAATGTGGAACCCTTCTCCAGCAAGACCCCCTTCCTTCCCCCACCTGGCCACCTCCCTCTCCGGCGATGAGCTCCCACCTCGCGTAGGAAGGCTTCACAACACTGCACGAAAGTACATAGTTTTGCCACAAGAAGTTCTGGATTTTTCAACATGGCTGGAGCAAGCTAGCTCCTCAACGCACACCGTCATGAAACCCTGGAACATTAAAAACAGGTTACACAAAACAAAATCCAACCAAATCCAAGACAAAGAACCCATAAATTGACACAACCAAGACATACCGAGATGCAATATTGAGGCTAAATCGAATTTTCCATGGCTTGAATTGGCAACTCCCAAGTCACTGCAATGGCGATGGAGAAAGGGTCACTAGAGGATTTAATTTTGGGGGAAAGGGGAAAATGTTTGATGTGGTGACAACAAGGCTTAGACACGGAACACGGGTTGGAGACAGTGGCAGATCTAGGAAAAGATAGCAAGGGGTCTGAATAAACTAGATAAAACTACAGTCCCTCTTCCTATTTACATATAGCAAAAAAAAATAGCGAAGGCTTTGTGGGATTTCTCATAGTACTCACGGCAGTAGTGGGGGCTCGAGACCCCGCCGCCTCCGTGCTGGATCCGCCCCTGGTTGGAGGAGATGTTTTCCGTCCGAAATAGCGAGGACGAGATACTCTTGTATAGCATTTCTGACTTTTCTAACTAAAACTTTCAAATTTTAGGAATGAAAGGGGTCTAGAAAAAATGTTTTAGAGGATGCACAACTAATAATAATAGACCACAGCTATCTGCCCCTTTCAGTTACCAAAGGCCGTACGTCTAATTCTCTGATGCTACCTGTATCTGGATGGCCCATTTCCAAGCCCATATAAGGCCCACGGAAGGTCAAGCGATCCACGTATTCCTTCCGGGCTTCCGGGGCTTCCGGCCCCAGGATCTCGACAACTTCCGGTTCCTGATCGCCTCTGGCTCTGGGGGCGCGCGGGTGTCGCGACTCAAACCGACGCTAAGCTACGGCCTACGGGGTAATCGAGCACCGTGACCGAGCTGTGGATCGGCGCAGCCCGCAACGCCGCCCGCCCACACCGGCCGCCGCTCGCGCGCGTCGGCGCGGTGACAGCGGCCCGGCTCGCGCGCTCGATCGCTTTCGGAGCACGACCGATCACGCACGATCACACGGCCGAACCCGCTGTAAAGATCGGTCCACGCGTCCGCCTCGCGCTGCCCTGCAGTCGACCGGGGCCCGGGGGACCCGGGGGCCGGAGCGGCGTTGCACACACTTGCGCTGTCCCATGAGATCGTTAGCGCGTTCGCGCGTGCGTCCGCCGGCCATCTGAAGGCGAAGGTGGTCGATGCGCTGCTAGGTAGCTGGCCAGCACGGCTTAGGTGGCTAATCTTTCACGCGAACTGTTACAAACTTACAAGTGTGTGTAAGGTCGTTTGGACCACCTTACAACTGTAGCTCGTTTAATTGGGTAGATAGGAGTATATAACATTATTGATTGTGCGATGCGATATACTTATATATCGTTTCCGATGATCTGGTCATATATATGGCCTTTGTGCCACGCATCATTCATTGCTCACAGGTTCCTTTCGGTCCTTAACAATGGGTACCGTGAGATTTTCTACACTAATTAGCATCAGGAAGTGCATACATTGAGGTATGTAGATATAGGGATGGTGGTGATTGTAAAATAACTAGCAGCGGGGATATGTTTACCTAAACATGTTTAGTTTTGAACCTATTGGTTTCACCGAGCAAGAGAAGTATGTCATGTACAGTAGTAATTGGAAGAAAGAAGTACAAGTCACAAAGCTGTGCTGCTGTGACAGTAAAAATATGCATGCAGATGTGCTGTATGCTGTGGGACATAGATCCCCTACGTACGTATCGAAGCTGCTAGCTAGTAGCGCGTCACCTTAAATTCGTCAAAGATCGATGTCCCTGTTATTGCACCGCCCCGGCGGCCGGCCTCGACAGATCGCTATTGCACATTTGCACATGTCCTGAAGAGTGAAGAATCAAGATGCAGTGCTCCTGTTCGCTGACAGAAGATGGAAAAGAAAAACTCGACCCCCGGTGTTTATTAGGAGAGGTCGGCAGAGGACGCGTGTTGCATATACACAAGAGAGACCAGCTAGCACATGAACCGGTAAATGATGCTC